AAAATGTGTACATTTTCCTATATTTTTGCCGAAAACTAAATTTCATCCGAATTCGAAATGAAGCTCAGAGATGTTTCTTAATTAATTCAGTTACAAACATGACTTAATTGCGCGGCTAGCGACAAAGCCTGAATCTAAATCTGTGAATTCACAGAAGCCCTCTTTCCTTCTTCCTTTCCCTTGCCAGTGCCGTGTTGTTTTTCATTGATTTTTTTCATGGTTAACCATAATAGCTACTTTGTGCCAAGTCTCAGTCGGCACTCGCAAAGGCGTACATATTCTGGTACGTATCTTTGTCTTGATACGGGTAGCACGGTATTACCGTTGATCCGCGAAAAAAATGCGTATGCTTATTTCGCGACGCCAACAACAGATACCTCCTTCTATCTATTCCCTACCTCTTCTTCTCGTCCGTCCCTTCGTCGTCCACCCTCCGCCCTGCCGCCCTCGCGCTAAATTACGAACGGTCTGCAAAATTGCTTTCGTACGTAAAAGAAGACCGTTGTCCGTTCCTAGCGGTCGATACGGCCTCCCGAAAGGGGCTCGGATGCGAGGTGCATGCGTGTACGTGTGCGTGCGCGTACATTTCTGCGTTCGCCCTTTGAACGATAATCGTGAAAAAGAGGAGAGAAGAAAAAGCGCACATAGTGGTAACGTAGGTTCCGCGAACGTGGCCCGCTCGCTCGCAGGAAACCACCGCGCGTCTAATTTCTTTTTCGCGGAAGGTGCCGTTCGATAGATGAGCGGCTTTCGTGGGCAGGAAGTCCGGAACAGCCACTCGGGGAAACGCGGATAGTACCGGGCCTCCTGGAACTACCTCGCCAGTAATTACACCAAAACGATACTTGATCTTCCGAGAAGATGAAAATGTTCACCTCTTATATTTTGTATTAAAAGTCTGAACAGCGAATTGTTCATTCATAACTGCGTTAGCTATATATATATATATATATATATATATATATATATACTCTGTTATAAATATATACATAAAAATTCGATTTCATAGTTTCATAGGCGTGAAATAATAAACGCGAATATATTTATAGCATGCATGTTTGAGGCACGAGTTGTGCTTTACTACCTAAGACTGGCGATGATTCGCGTATTAATTTTTTATTTTGTCTATCAATTATTGTCGTTATTATAATACATAAATACATTATCCACAAATCTCAAAAAGAGTACATAGAATCAACGTCACCAGTTGATCTGATTAATTATAGCAAATCTATGATTTTTCATCGACAAAAGTATTCTCAAAAAAGTTTTAGTCAAGTCTACTTACATAGCGATTATTTATTTATGTAATTTATATGATATTATTGTATAACGGGAATGTAATACTTATATTTTTAATCAGTCACAGCGAATACGTTTTTTTGTTTCGTTTTTACGTATTCGCATAATTGCATACTCGTCCATCGCACGTTAAAAATTCGAAGGCACAATGGCTGCTAATACAAAAGTGCTACCTTATAAATGCATAGGCTCTTAATATTTAGACACGAGAATACATGTTGCCTCACGAAATATGTAGGTCTGTTCGTTTTAGCTGCACTCCGTTTACATTTCGTAATTAAAGCGAAACAAAAAGTACATTCATCCTTTGCAAGTAGAAAGAAAAAAAAACGTAAAATTGCAAAAAACAAACGTGTGTTTAACACGAATAGACCTTGCATAAGTACTTTATAATACATATTGGCATGTTGTAAGGACACTTGTTTTATCAACACATAAGCTTAAGGTAAATGCATCGTATAATTAAGGAATGTTCGTATGACGCTATAAACAGAAAGCTTACCTCATTATGCAAATTCTTAGTCGATATAAAAACGATCCCTACTAACTGACATAAAGATATCTTAAGCCAGTGACTTAAGCAATGCCTTCCCACAAAATGGTACTCTGCTTTTGTATTTAAGTACACACTTAGGACCCTTTCGCGAAAGCTATTTTTGTAGCATATAGGTTTTTTACGTGTCCAATTTCAATTGTCACAATTGCCGCAATTGTCATGACTAACATCACGCACTTTGTAAAGTAAATAAAAAAAAAAGAAGGATGTAGACAGTCCGAGGAAGACCAAAGTAAATATACATACGTTGGTGCTACTTTCTCGCGCGTTGTACATCGACATTACTTTCCCCTTTGTAATATTTAATAAATATTTTACAACTGTGTGGTAATTACCGTCTTTCTCGTGATTACTGTATGCTTAGTTGGTGTTTGATCAGGTGCTGGGCTTTGCGACGGATCCGCTACCAGCCAGGGACTAATGTCTGACGCCGCTTGACTCTCATCCTGCAAAATAGGTCGTTTAATAAATTAATACGCTACTCTGAACTAATTTTTCTCGATTACCAATAATTAAAAAAAAAATGATCATATTTAATTGTATAGAATATTAATGATCTTAGTAGTTTACGTGTTTAAATTACAAATTTAAAGAATTTAATATACTTTACTATATTCACACACACAGAGAGACGACTTTCACGTGGGACACAAAGCAAATTCTTTTATTACGCTTTCACCAACACACGTCCAACTTACTTCTAGAATAAAATTTTACTTTCTCTTTACGATTTAGCGCTAAATGATAAGTCTCTTGTTTCTAAAAGTAAGTTTTCCATTCTTGGTGAAACCAGGGCGTTTATGTAATGGACGAGACGCTGGACTGCAAGCGTAAAAAAAAATGTAACTGACCTTGTGTGTAAGTGTCGTAGTGGTCGTTTGTATCTCCTCGGTTTTAACGACTCGCGCTCCGGCTTTTTCTGTATCCGCCTCGACCTTCTTCTCCGTCGTTGTAACCGGTTGTAAATCTTTGAAGGGATTGAGTATGCCCAAGAACGGATTCGAGTCTATGAAGGGATTGGTGTTCTTCTTCTTGTCGTCTTCCGGCTTCGCTTCCTCCTCGGAAGCCTCGGGCGTGTTAGACGCGTCATTGCCGCTAGTGTCGTTAGTGAAGGGATTGAAAGGGTTTTGCGACTGGTTCGACACTTTCGGGCTTAACGGCGTGGTCTTCTGTTCGATCTGTCCCCAACTGTCCAACGAAAAATGCGTTACGGTAACAGCGTCGTCCGTAGAAGGATTTACCGCTGTCGTCGCTCCGCTCACAGAGAGGGTCAGTTTGTCACCACCCTATTCGTTGGAGAAAGCAAGAAAGCAAACACATTATGGTTGGCAACTAGCGATATAAAGCAGACACAGTAAATGATATAAGCAATACAAACAGCAACAGAATAATCTTGACAAAATTATCGCTTAATAAGCTGCTCAAATTTGCAAACACTTTATCACATGATACTCGACAATACATAATACAAATACAAAAAGTATTGAGTTACACTAAGACAAAAATACCATAAATTTTAAGAAAATCCTTTTACATGTAATATAAAAAGAATTTTCGCGCGAGAAATGTACACAAAAGAAGCATAATGTAAATGATGCAGCAAAACAAAAAATTATAAAAATACAGAAGACTACAGATGAGAGTTAACGATGCTCACCACGGAAACGATGGTCGCCGCGTCCGAGTGTTGATTCTTCTTCGCGATCACTCCAGTGCTGTCTGTAGACGTGATGGAGACCAAATTCGAATTCTTTCCCTGCTCGAGAGTCGCCTTCAATATGTTACACTTTAGGGACTCCGGCGGAATCGGCGTTCGAGGAGGTAACGACGACGTACCGCCCACTTGATTGTTCGGCACTAGCTGCACTTGATTGGCGATAGTTTCAACCGTCAGGCTGGTCTTCATAGGCTCCGACTCTTTCTCGCTACTGCCGGCCGTCGTTTGGTTTCTCGCCTCCAGTGGTTGTTGATCTTTGGCGAGAGACTTCAGAAGGGAATCCACCAAAGGCGATGACGTAGTGCCTTGAACGCTCGAGGAATCCGAAGTACTCTTTGTACTGGAGCGACTAACGCTCGGCTGGCGCTGCAAGGGTTCTTCGTCGGCTGAAAAAATATATTTTTCAAACACATTTTTAATATGAACATCGAAACAAACATTTAACGATGAAACATGATATAAATTTGATGTCTAATAAGATATGATAAGATAAAATATCTTTGATGAAAATGTGAGATAAACAAATCAGAGAAACAGTTTTTAAATTTATGTGATTTTTCTTGCGTCAAAAATATTTTAAAAATATCTCGATGAAAATCTTTTTCAAACTATTCTCAAATGTAATCCATTTCAGATTAAATGGAGTTTAATATTCTGTCTATATTATACGCGTTTTTAGAGTGCAGCTCTAGTAAAAAGCAGTATACTTTATTTTTTCTTAATTAAATAAGAAAATAAGAGATTAATTAAATTAATTTGAATTCTTAAGTTAATTAAATAAGGGAATAATGAAGTATTAAGTTTCAAAGACTGCGTTCACTACAGTATAATTCTATAAAGCTCACCTGGAGGTGGAGAAGGTTGCGGCTGCTCCACCTGCTGCTGTTGACGCTGCCTTTCGCGAAGAACGTGACTTTGCCGTCGTGCGTATCTCTGACTCGGCCGTCGCTCGAACTGCACGGTGCGGCGCGCCCGATTCAGCTGCGTCGTCTGAAATTCCGTTTTGCCGCTGTAACGGAAACGCGAGCCCATGCGGAAAAAGTTCTGGCGGCCGCTGGCGCCCTTGACCGGCGCGCGCAGACGGAAGAAGGCGTGATGCTCCACCGCGCACTTCCACAAGTGCTTGCAGGCCTTCTCGTTCACCAGCCTGAACACGAAGGTGTGCTCCTGCTCGCCCCTGCCCTCGTCGTCCTCCTCCACGACCACCAGCGTCAGCTTCTTCTTCTTGAAGTCCAAACGACCGATCTTCGGCCAGAAGAACAGGCCTATCTTCTGCGTGCCCTCGAAGACGAGGATGCCGGTCGGTGTCAGGCCCAGGGAGTACTCGCAGGCGTCCTTGCCGAGAACAATGTGCATGTCGACGCCGTACATATCCAGCCACTTGGCCTTGCTGAGATACGCGGATTCCGCCTGGGCCGGGCTAAGGCCGGAACACTTGGTGTACTCCTCCAGTATCTCCAGCTCCATCTGCTCCGTCTGGCCCGGTACGAAGCGGAATTCCGACACAGTCGCGGCGCTGTGCATAGCGGGATCGTAATCTCCTAGTTCGGCTAGAATGAGAATTTCCGTTCTTTCAATTACACGCCGCAATCGTTTGCCGCACGTCAAACAGCTGTAATAAGAATGTAGCTTAATTTTAATTAAAGATACTGCTCGAGTGTGAACTCACATTGAAGAGACAGAGCAGATAACTGAACCGCAACTTGATGAGGACAGTGAAGCTTGCCTTCCAGAACATCTTGCTTCAATTGCAAGAAGAACTGATATCGCGTCAGCTCCTCCCGCAACGTGTTCGGTTCCGAAGAGTAAAACTTCACTTTCAATCTGAGCGTGTACGGAGGTCCAACTAAATAAGAGATTACCAGTCAGTTACTTAACGTTCCGTTTACTTTCAAAGGAATTTGTAGAACAACGGGTGGACGCATACTTTTGACTTGCTTCTTGATGGGTTTCGTTGGATCCAGCCAGTGTTGGACGTTATTGCTATCCGTATATTGGAGGCCGAAGTAATCCTTCTCGATCAAATCGAGACTATAGAACACTTGTTCGTACAAGTCACTAGCCAATGCTTTTTTCTGCAAAATAGGACCAGCAGTTACGAAATGCGGTACAAACGTATGCGGAAGTTTATCTAAAAGCGACTACTCTTCTAGTCCGAACGCGTTTTCCACGACGTTACGTTATCTTCGCGAAGATTACGTAAAAATGCAGGAGAAAGCATCACGGACTAGGAGGGTCTATGACAATTAAAAGCAAGAGAGAGAGAGAGAGAGAGAAAACTTGCCGACAGCTCTATCGGCAGATCCGTGCCGTCCAGCAACACCACTCTGCACTGCACGATATTCTTATTGCTGGGCAGTCTCTGGTTCTTGATCTGCGACGAGGCGGTCTGGCCGCTGACGCCGCGCGCCCTCCGTCGCGACAGGAACCTCAGCATCCTGGAGCCTCGCCGTCAAATCGGGACGCGACCGATCGGGACCCCGACCATCGACTTCGCGGGACGAGACGCGATCCGCCCACTCTCTCCCTCTCTCTTCGCCGTCTCTTCGCGCGATGACGCGGACGACGCGACGCCTCGCGATCGCCGCTTGCCAGGACTTGTGACTGGGGGGGCCAACTCCGATTACTCCGAAAAATCCCGCGGCGTCCGCGCAACCGCCACCGTCACATTCTACACGCGCTCGCTGTGGTCACCGCCGACGAGGAGATTCAAGCGCGCGGAGCGGCCGTGCCCGCCGCAACAGCCCAGGGTCCCACGCGATCCACGAGCGCGCGACGGGCGGCGCGTATACACGCCCGAGACAGCGAAAAACGCCGTAATGACGCTTCTTCGCAATGACTTTCGGAACGCACGCATAGGAGGCGTCCAAGTTACGTGCGAAAAAGAGATACATACATACATCCATTTTTTTAAGATTTATTTAAACAATGATAGCGAGTCAATTCTAACAGATAAATTTGTACATTTTATCTCTAATAGCAATATGTACTTGTCTAAATTGCTATTTCGTTATTATATTGTTACATAAATAAATATAATTGATTTTAAGTTATATGCATACGTATGTATTTATATGTATGTTAGCTATCACATTATACCAATTAAAGGAGCAAAATTTTTTAAAATATTAAGCTCTTTATCACAGTGTAAAATAAATTTATTATGATGTTAATACATCTATTTAATATAATATAGCTAGCTTGTAACGCTGTCTAATAATTCTTGCGCTCGAAAACAGTCGCTCACAATTTTCCATTTATCGCCCACAGCCGTAATTAAAAAAGTTTGATTAAATGGCTTTGAACACTTCTCGTCGTATTTTACTTGACCGCCGACCTTGACGAGAAACGTTAATTGATTGGCTACTTCTGGACCTGTAACATATTACAAACGAATAAATTTAAATAGTAAACTTTCGCTATTACATATTATTGACATAAATATCGCTTAGTGAAATAAAAACATAAATATCATGTACAAGTATTAAAATAAGAGAATTCATTTAGAAACGATTGAGAATTTACTGAGAAATTTTATCAAAATTTAAGTTAAGATACAATATAACGTACAATAATATTTAATATTTATAAACTAACTTCTATTTGTCTGATACTTTTATAATAAAAAAAAAACAAATTTATATTAAAAATAGTGCATTTATTAGCAGTTAACCTGTAATTGGCTGAGCATCCAGAGTATGAATAGCATGTTCTGAAGTCGGTAGATCTGTCCAGAATTTCTGTATATTGTCTTTGCTTGTTACACCGTTTCCATTCCATATTAAATTAGCAGTATCCATGTACATTCTTGAAATCAGCTAAAATAATATTACAAAGTTAATATATCAAAATAATGCAATCAAGAAGGAATACAATTTGACAATGTTATTGTTACTTACATATCTTCGTTTGTCTAAATATTCATAATACAATTTTGTAAATTCTTCTGCAGTACGACAAGCTTGATCAACTTTAGCTTTCAAGTCCTACAAACATAGATGTAAAAATTAGGAGCAAATATAATTAAATATTCTAAATATATCATTTATCAGCATAATTCATTGTTTTTATAACTTCTAACTTTAAGAGAAGTACAATTGCCAGAAAAATTACAGCAATTTAATTTATCCTGTCGCCTTAACCAAATATTTTAATGATATTAGAAAAATATAAATAGCGATATATATATATATATATATATATATATATATATATGACGTTATAGACTTAAATATATAATTAGCAAATAAAAAACATCATTCTGCAACATATTGGGCGTTAATAGTGGTACAATTTTATTCAACCATGCACAGATTACTTTTAAAGATTCACATACAAAAAAAAAGCGTATATTAATCATAGTTACGTATATATATGTTCATAATACCTGCTCCATTATTATATATATATGTGATTAAAGTTGCTTAAAGTAAATTTTTGTGTTTTCAATCCAATGATTTTCGTGCAATGATTCAAAATGATATACACACAAAATGCACATGTATATACAAAAGCATACAACACTACATGTTCCAATGATAATATAAAGCCGTTAAAGCATCAGTACCGCGAATACTGAAAAATTATTTGGTTAGGTTAGGTTAGTATACGCAGAAACGATTCGTTCACTAGCGCCTCTAATGTAATCAAAACGTATACAGTGAACTACATAGCCACATGCCATGAGCATTCTCAACGGGTAACCCGCTGTAATCTATATCATTCCACCGGCCGCGGCACCAATTATAAAGTACGTTTTATTAAAAACGGTCAAAAGTATAAATTTTTGCAACTGATCCGGAAATAATTGAAGAACAATGATATTTTGGCTGTACCGAAAATAACAAATATGATCGTTTTACATGTTATCACTGTTTTATTATCGGCAGTTTGATACCCCCAAACACACCAAGTTACATATATGTATAGTATAACGTACTTAATTTTAGTTGTAATTTCCCACTCAACAATATAACAATATTATAGTTATATTGTTGAGTGGGAAATTACAATTGTAACAAGTACGTTACATATGTAACTTGGTGTGCCTCTCTATTGACTCTGGGTGCGGTCCGCTTGATGCTACTCGTACAAATTTAATGATTTGAAGCATTATTGATTGACTTATCTGAAGAAAAAATTTCTACTAAATGATCAATCAAAAAATGCTCCGAAGCATTATTTGCAGTATCAAACGGACCGTAGCCTCTATAATTCCCTTTCCTCCTTCCAGTAAATTAAATATATTATATGTTCTAAATTAACACGCGTGATTTACACTTTTAAATAAATTCATAGAAGTAAAAATATATTAAGACACAAGTAAAGAATGCCATAAAAAATATATTTAAACTTAAAAATATTGCATTTAACACGTTCTAGTTAAAAGAAATTCGATCATACGATAATGCCATGTATATACATATGTACGTTAATTGTGTGCATGTACATCGCGTATATAATTACGATCGACACACAATTTTCACATATATTCATAGTAAAATTTATATTAAAATATTTTACAAAAACGTTGCTTGGCACGTTGTTACGAGATTCAGATGAATTCCATAAAATCGAAATAATATAGTAATTGAATTACGCCGAAAGATTTGAAATTATTTATAAATCGATGAGCTTCAATTGCAATGGTGATTTTATCGTGTTTATAATTTGACTTGTATGCTCGAGCGGTCCACGATGCCATTCAATTCGGAAATTTCGTATGACCTGTACATAAAATTAATACATTTATATATATATATATATATATATTCTTTTGCTGCAGTTTAATATAAAATATGTAGCTACAATAATAACTTGAAAATGATAGCAATGTTTTCGCGGTTATCTATATACGAGAATTATCTTGAAAATTAATGATTTATTTAAATATGATTTTGTAGTTTATTATTTATATTGGAAAAGTATTAAATACAGTATTAAATTTTGTACAAAAAATATTTTATTTAAAAAAATGTTTAGCCGAGAATAAAAGTATAATATTATAAAATAAATATTTCAGAAGAAAAAAGCGTAAGAAAAAGACAAAAGGAGTTAGAAGTGGCAAAGAGAAAAGGAAATCGAGAGAACAGAAATAAATAGAACTATTTATATTCACTAAATTGTTTCACACACAAAAAATTATTAAATAATAAAAATTTTACGAACTTTTAAGAGTAATATCTCGAGCTCCATCTCAGCGAATCTCTGTCCAATACAGGAGCGAACGCCGTAACCGAAAGGCATGTATGCAAAGGGATGCGATTTTTTATATAATAAAAATTCAGGATTACCCCGCATCCATCTCTCGGGAATAAACTTCTTTGGTTGCGGAAAATACGTGGGATCCATCGATATCAGTGAGTGACAAGCCATAACGTCTGACTGATGAAGGAAAAGGAGTTATTGAGAAAATACAATTTTATTTCGTTATTTCACAAATATATGAAATTCGCTTTCGATCAGCATTAATTAAATATTGATAAATCTGAAACTCTATAATTTAAAAAAATGCTAGAGAACAACACGTACTCCTTCTGGTATCATATATCCTCCTATGGAAACATCTGTCTGCATAGTTCTTTGAATACCACTGGTGATAGGAAACAATCGCATGGATTCTTTGATACATGCTTTAACATACGATATACGCTTCAGGATATCATATGTAACAGGCGTTGTTTTGTTGGGTAACACAGACATTACTTCTTCTCGCAATTTTTCCTGTTTGTCCCAATTATTTGCGATATAGTATAGCAAAGCGCCAGCTGCATTTCCAGTCTATAAAAAATGTTACTTATTCTTAAATTCTATTAATTCTATTAATCTTACTGCAAGATTTCTTAAATCCTATATAATTCCATATAATCTATATGCGAATATATAAAAAATACATTGTACACATTTATATATATTGCGCAGAACAATTGTCATGAAAAAATTGTGATCATTTATTAGGTATTTATATTTTAATATATTTGCTAAAGTATTGTCACAAGATAAGTCATTTAACATAATTTTATTTATAAAAGACTTATGGATTATGTAACAAAACAAGGTTATTAAGATCATTTTTATTGTTTTCGGATTTGGATTAAAAATCATGTATTTACCGTATCGCTACTAGCTAGTGTATCCAATGCCATTACATGGGCCGTTTGTCTGTCGATACGTAAGATATTTTCCAGTAAGCAACTATCTTTTGAATTTGTGTTATCTGCTGTCTTCATAAATTTTTTAGCATACTCGATATGTTTCCAGGAAATTCTGAAAGAAATTATAAAGAAATGGAAATATGAATGTTTAGAAGAAGAATACTAATTATAATAATATAAGAATACTAATTATAATTATAGATGAAAATTATAATAATACTAATTATAATTATATAGTAACGAATTACGTTTTGAAGTTTACTATTTTTCGATATATGTATATTTAAAATAAAATGCAAGCAAAGTGCAAAAGAAAAGTGACAATAGAAATAAAATTTGTTAGTTTTAATTTTAAAAATAAAAAGTAATTAAAGCATAGAATACATATTATATTATTTATATTTTATATAGTGTTATATTATATATTATTAGTATATAGTACATATTAATAACAACAATTATTTAGTCAATTCAGCAAATTATTCGTAATACGAGAATAGTAGTATATCGATATATATATGAAAAATAATTAAGAATTTGCATATTTAAAATAAATATTACCAATCAAAGGTATAATGTTTTTGAACTAAAAATATTCTTGATCGGCCATGTACGTATTGCAGTAGTTATTGTCTATATTACCTATTTCATATATTAATTATACCCGTTGAATAATCTTTAATCGAACTTGCGCGATATTGTATTTTCGCTGAGAAACAACGCAAAAATTTTACAAGAATATTCTTTGATGTAATCAAATATAAGTTTCGATACTTACGCTTGAATTGTATCCAACGTACGGAACAACTTTTTAAGATTCCGCGTGTTGTACAGTTTCCATAAAGATGGCAGATTTTCTAGGCGGTATATAAGATCGAACATTTCTTTTACGCAATTCATCATTATTTGCGGTTCCGAATTGACGTCAAGATTAGACCTTAAGCATCCCAATTGACAATTCAACGCGAATGAACACTTCGCTGTTAATTATATAACAGATTGTCAGTAATGATATAAAAATATAAAAATAATGTAATTATTTTTCTAAAATTCTAAATTCAGTTTTATAAATTCAATATTGTTACGTGGCTCATATTTGTATCATTTTTTAATGTTTTACTTTCGAAGAGCATTACTGCAAGAATATTCTCTCGCAAATACATACACATACTTACATTCTAAACTCCACTTGAATAATTCATTCGAAAAGTCATTTGGCAACTCTAAGGTTTTAGGATTTCGCAATGCTCGCATTTTATCCACGAATTCGCTGGTTACCTCATAGATCTGTGTGACATGCGTTTTGACTTTTTCTGGTCGCATCATATGCGAACTGACTTTTGATCGAAAATCTTGCCATAATTCTCCCTGACTAAAAGACTCATTTTTAGCAAAAGAAAATAATCATCGTATGTAATTTATGTCCTGATATCATGCAATTTAATAGGGGATATTAACAGAAAAAAGAAATAGAAGGAAAAGTATGGAAAATATAGAGATTATTCGGTATCAATGCATTATGAATATAAGTGTTATAATAAAAATTTATCTATACTCTTTTCACGAGTCACGACTGACCTTGATACAAGACCGTACTGTCCATTATAAATGTCTTCTCTGCTCTTGCGATAATAATACAGGGGCTCCATGGCAATTCGCATTGGCCATTTGCCTTGCAACTGATACATATTCTTGCATAACTCTGGACAGAATAGAAAGATACGCGGTCGTTCCTTTGTTAGGCTGTCAAGTTTGACAATATTACCATACTTATCACGCAGCATTCGCATTAGTGTCAGAACATTCACATTGTGGTATTCACCTGTATATTGTTTATGCCAATAATCAATTTTTATACATATGTAAACAGGGGCTCAATCGAGAGTAAAAAAGTACATTGAAATAAATCGGTACATTTTCATTTCCATAAACGATAACATAACAGATCTAAGATTATTTATTAGATAAGTCTTTTGATATAAAGGATATATAGAAAAAATTTTTAAAATAAATAGAATAGGTAAATTTTTAAATAAAGATATTAAATTCATGTATATTTTATTTATATTCTAATTTTAAAATGTTTTTTTAATCAGAACCAAAAGAATTTACATGTTCTTAAATAAAAATATGTAATTGCAAAGGCAAATTGAATCGCAAAGGCAAAACCTAGTGTTATAATTTTATAGCACTTTTGGTATCGTTTATCTAGATCTTTTATGTGATTGAAGAACATATTGAATTCGCATCGATACTTGTATTATACATCGATTGTATTCGCCTATTATCAGCTATAATCTAATTCTCATTATTTATTATTTACGCAATTTCATATCATCCGATCTTACTTAAATTTTGTAATTTTATAAATTTGAATAGCAACAATTAACGATAACGATTTCATTACCTCGGACATCGAAATAAAACTCTTACCTATGTAAGGCATGAATCTGAACCAATTGCCAAGCAAAGGTAATGCTTTTGGACCAGGAATGTCTTCAGTCGGCCGCACGTATTGCACTTTGTTATCCATATTATCTACTTCATTATATTTCTTTGGAGAATCTCTGATCGATTTTGCGCGGCATTGCATTTTCGATGATAAACCCATACTATTGACTTCACGAATGAATAATCTGGTTCGTATCATAATTAATTTCTGTTAACTCGGTTCTGCAGTATATTATATTTGATCGAAATAATGACACAATGATCAACGATTTTTAAAAGATTCCGATTCAAATATTCAGTGCGATTATGTTGGCACATTTATGATGGCATAAATACCTTTATGACACGTTTCTTTTGATGTTAAACTTCCTTGCTCTTTGCACACCGAACGAAAGCTAACTGATTTCTGACGATTTTGCTTTGTACGATTGTCCTTGACCTTAATGATTTTAAAGTTGTTCTTAACAATGTCGATTTATCACGAATCACACTAAAACATTTGATGAGTCAGAGAGGTAAAACTGACAACGTATTTTTCTTGGTATGAATAAATGTTTTTAAAATATAAAATTTTATTCTCTGCAGTGAGAAAAAAATGTCGATTATTAATCAATTAATATAAAGTTTTAATATGATCCTTATAAATTTGTGTAAGATTAAAAATAAAAGCGAAAAAAATTATCAAATTTTTTAAGTTGAATCTTGTTCATAATTTTACCTCAGATAGCAATGTATCCCGTTATTCCATCGGCTCGTATACGGTAGCGTATATAAAATAGATCACGACATATATTCTGCTCGAAAGAGTTCCATCGCGAATTCATTTAACATTTTCAGTCGAAAAACGAATATATCTAATACAGTTGTTAATATTTCTCTTCCATTCTTTTGCCAGTGTGTTACTGCAACATATTTTAATAGATATATTTCTAAGATAAATCAAAATAAGAAACAACTTACCTTAACTTTACACATCTAAAAGCAAAATTTTTACTTATTTCGAATAATACATTTGCAATAATTCGTTAAGCAAATTGATCGCTAAATAGATAAAAAAATTTCCAAATTTAGTTATTGGTTTTTTATTTTCATCATACAATTTGTTTATTATTCTTATAATGTATTCTAATAATTTTTATCGGTCCCGATTGTATGAACTGCTCATAATGAATAATTGATTCGTTTAAAATTTGATGACTGATCATCAAGATAATCGTCAGGGTGTACTCAAAGTGTTTGAAATATTTGGATACGAATATTCGCGCGACAGATCATATAAAACATATATGTATAAATAACAGAGGGTGATTTTTAATCACATACATTAAGTAAAGCATAATATGCTTTATTAAACACTAAAGTAATGCATAATAGCCAATAAAAAAAATTGATAATTTTTCCTAAATAATAGTTGCAATAGCATTTTGTATAATACTTATTTTTTTAAATACTTGTTTTAGATAAGTAACTTTTCCGCTAGACACGTAGATAATTAATAGCTGACTAGACTCGTTATCAAACAACTTATTGTTAGAATTACAATGTACATTCACCTTTTCCTTTTCGAAAATTTATTAATTCAGTCGTTATTAACGAAACAATTTTGGACGAATGAAGTAGTGTCATACATATTGATATATATTTTATTATTTTTTAGATATAGAATGTTGTCCTTTATTTCTGTTGTATGTAATTAAGCGTCACCCTGCGTATCCAATAAAGAATGCCACAAGCAAAAAAAAGAAATTTGTTCTCGACAAATTTCCTTCAAAACGAGACGCTTCCAAATAGAAATAATTTACAGCAATCGAGCTACTGACTGAATAGTGATGGCCAACAAACGCTTCTCGAATCATTTCACGAATATTAAAATTAGTGAGAATTCCGTGAAAATTTAAAAAAAATTAAATCGTAACAATCTTAACGATTATTAAAATCTTGAAAAATTTAATCTTAATACATTTTAAAACATTTTTTAAATGTTTTAAAGTCAAATACAATATTCAAATTCTAAAGAATTTAACATTTTAAATTAATAAAAACATACTTTTTTCTAACTTTCATTTAAAAAATTTATATATATTATAAATATATATTTTACGACATGCTGTATAGAAAGTACTTCCACTGTTTCGTGAAAAGTTTTTAATCGTTCGTGGCTTTTAATATTTTCGAAAATTTCAAGATTTTTACATTTGTTAAGATTATCACTTTGTTTCTAGGAAAGGAGGCATCTTTTTTTAAAGATTCTTGAGAGATCCGAGACTTCGAATAATAGCCAAAACAATTTAAAACGTCACAGCGACAGAATCGCTCGAGATGGTGTAATCGAATAAATTACTGAAACAAACGAAATTTCGCGTACTCGCTCTCAGAAAATATCCCAGCGACGATTGACCGCTATCCCCGATGTATGACACGTAGATAGTTCCCTAGTTTAACAAAACGCGCAACGAAAATTTAAAAAAATAACGTATACAATCGCGCAGATCTGTCGCGCGCACCACGTTCATTCGTTCGTTCTCTCGTTTACACGCATATAATCAGCCGCTTCCTTCTCGTGTGTTATCTCCGGTCGCTGCGACCGCCATTCCTGTAGCCGCCGCGTCCGCGCGAGTTGCTCTTGGCCGTCGGCGCCGACTTCGTCGTCGAGTCCGACGAGGAATATCGCACCGAGCCACCGGAGAGACCTGAGCCACTGCCACTGCCGCCTCCACTGCCGCTGGTGGTGTTGCCGCCGTTGCCACCACCACCGCCCCCATTTCCGCTCTTTGCGGTCGTCGAACTCGGCGCGGATCCACTACCGGGGGTTGTTGTGTTACTTTGACTCGCCTATAACAGATTACATGTTTTTTTTTTTTTCATTAGAATGCACTAGCAATAAGTACTCGACATTATATCGAGACGTATTTTCAAGCTTGAATGAAGCAATCTTTTCATGTCTAATTAAACTCGATACGATGCATTACGTCTGATTTACAAAATGCTTTTTTATTAACTTATTTTATTAGCCTTACTACTTTATTTGTTTATACATATTTGTATTTAATTTATTTGCTATTAAAAAATTAATAATTTTACAATATATATATTGTATCAGTATTATTAAATTGATCGATATTCAATTTAATAATACTGACGCTCACCGGCTAATAAATTTCCCCTTCCCCGCGATGCGACGTAAATGCTGTAAAGAAATTTTCTGCGAAAAATATTACCTCACAATCAGCCAGGGTTTGAACCTGGGCCTCTCTATTTTCTGGACGGACGTCTTAGCCTGTTAATTATTGTAAATAATAAAAAAATCTTAATTTTTTTGTGTAAATACTTTAAATGTTCAAGACGATTTATGCAAAGTTTTATTACGATAAAATTGGCTAATCTGCAAAAATAAAAGAGTATGTTAAAAAGTGGCCGATTTTTGCTTCCAAACCGGTATAATAAAATTTACATATCTTAAACTTTTTTTGCCGTAGAATTACATCGCGTAGAGACATCCATTTCGTCAAAATGTGAAGAAATTTATCTATTTTTCCTTTGACAGCAAATGGATGTCACCACGTAATTCTATGGCCAAAAATTTTACATGCTGACTTGAAAAATCTTTTTAACTCCCTTTGCAGAATAGATAATTAAATAAACGTCCCAATTTGACCGGATACCTATACAATACTTAATCTCAAATATTTTTATTATTATTATTATTATTATATTAAAACTTAATTGTAAAAATATTAAAAAATTACAATTAAATTATAATTAAAAAAGCATTTGAGATTAAAAAGTTGTATACGTGTCAGGATTTAGATACATATCTGGTCAGCGGGACGTTTACTTAAACCTCCGGCATTACAATGAAACTTTATACATAAATCATCTTTGAATATTTAAAATATTTATATTTAAAAAATCGAGATTTTTGTCAGTTTCTTAATTTTTCAAATAATTTTTTCTTCGTCATAAAAACATATGCAACACATCCTTAATATACGCCAATTAAAAACATTAAATAATAATTTTCAAATATATACCTTTACTTGTTGAAAAATTCAATGACAAAATCATTACGCGAAACAACGTTCTTAACTCAATATGGAGAAATCGCTCTTCATCCCCCATCCTTGCAAATTACTACATAAAAGTATCGACGTATCTCGAGCGTAATTTGACGTGAGAATAATGAGAAGAACCCGATTGAAGGCGAAATAATTAATTGCAAAAATTTTCGACACGCAGTATCGCGCCGGAGTTGTCGGCGGAATCGTCGCAGGTGGACATTCCCAATGATCTACGTACCAAAGGCTGCCGTCCCGTTCCCGGCGGTTGACTCGAGATGCTGTTAGCGTTGCCGTTATTAGTGATACTGTTGTTGACGTTGCTACCCGGGGGCGGACCCGAACCACTTTGATTGACCAGCTGCTGCGCCAGCAAGGGATTCGGGTCGCTCATGTTAACCTGCTCGTTAATCACCATACAAAACTCGCCTATCTTTTGGATGTCGCCGTTCTTGCCCGAGTACAGAGTCAAGCATTGCCGCCAGACGGACGCGTAGCCCTTGGTGAGCCGCACGATGTCGCCCGGCATCAGAAGCTGACCGGGCTCGTCCCAGATGGAGACGTTCATGCAGGCGGTGCTGTCGGCCACTTTGAACGTTCGAACTTCGCGGTTCTCTTTGGTGATGGTAGGGAGGCTAACCTCCAAAACGATAAATACTACGTTGATGTTTTTCTGGCCCGCGCGGATATCCTTTATCTGCACGTAATCCATCCTGGTCCTCCACGGATCGCGACACAGGACACAAACACGCACATATACACGCACCCGTGCGCGCGTACGGAAACTGGTTCGAGAATAACGAATAACGTCTGGTTGTGTATATATATATATATATATGTAAACGTCCTCACGCCCACGGGGGATGAACAGTCATCATTCGTGTACCGCGACGTATTTCTTTAAATCACACGACTCGACACCGATAGGTCAAAACGCCCGCCCTCTTCACCGCCCCTTTTTTCTGGCCAAGCTAAATTCTTTAGAGGGTGTCTTTCGCTCTGGATTTTTTTTTTCTTTTGCGTTTTCGATCGCGCTGCCCGTGCTACGCACGTATTATACGGATATTATCGGCTCGAGAAGCTACCAGAGGAGCTATACAGCCCCACGTCCTCCACGAAGGCATCGGAAGAAATGAAAGAGCGAACGTAGTGTACAACACATCCTCGGTGACCGAGCTGACGTCGCACAGTCGGCGCAGTCGGCGCTCGACGACGCCAGCAGTGGCGCGCGCGCGCGTTATCCAAGGCGCGCCTCGCGCGGCAAAGCCGCGAACTGTCAATTCGCGACCGCCACGGGAGGCGCCACGAGCGACAGTGCGAAGAACTTGCGGGAGCGACGTAACAACGTCATGTATTTCGTGGACTACTATTTTTTTTTGCGTGACAGAAAATCCTATCGTTCGGCAGTGGAATAAAGTGCGAATGGATTCGTGAATCTGTCGCGCGACAGAGGTAGTTATCGCCTGGTGAGAATTCCCACGGTTATATTGCGGTTAACGCAACAGGAAACTCCGTCGAAATCTCCGAGCTGATAACGGTGCTGCTCTCGGGGGTTCGCGTCCTAACCTTTGATCTTTGAACGTTAATTACACGCTCGCGGAGAGGCTCGGTTTGTTGCTGTATTGATTTTACGCAGCGATCGATCGAATATTTTAGATGAAACGCAAAACAATTCTTGTACGCACATGCACACAAACTGGCTTTCTGCAACGAAAACAAAAGTCAATGTTGCGTCTTGTCGCGTCACTAAGATTATCCGTTTAACCGAACGGGCTATTTGTATTTAAGGTTTGTTTTTTTATTCCTGTGCTAGATCGCATTAGAACTTTCCTTCTCGCTTTCACTAAATTTCAAACACGTATGTATTTCATCTTAAGTACAGAAAGTATACTCGAATATCTTCGATTCTATGATGCCTTAATGACAATAGAAAAGTTTTGCAACAACAATGTAACAATACCGAACTGTTGTTACAAATTACAGAATCGGGGTACAAATGCGTTTTCAGGCAAGAATACAGTGTAACATTTTGATTCATTTCGTCCCTATTGTTTGTCAATGTAAACGAGAATGAAATGATTCACTGTGTTACACTGTGTTCTTGCTGGAAAACGCACTAGTTCGGCTGTAAGAAACAGACATCTTTGGATAACTGTGTGTTAATCGCGATAAACAGAAGACAAGTATTAATCAGCTTCAATTAGCATTAATTTTGTTGAAGCCAACACAATGAGCTATCATCGAGGAAGTGGTAGCAAGCCGAAGGGCTTTGGCTTTACCGGCTTCCAAATGTCTGGAACGAAAAGAAGTGGTACCAACATACCTCCACCTCCACCAAACTCCACCCTGAGCAAGCAGGGCTATCACACGATGAACGCTATTACGGAAAACGCCTTGTCCGCTTGTTGGGGCATGCCGAAGAAGCGCAGCAAGACCGAAGAAGAGTTAGTATAATTTATATACGAACAATATTAAAGTGGTAAAGAGAAACCATGTATTGAGCATTACGATTTTTATTTAAACCTTTAGATACTTCGAGGACGATGACGAAGCTGCAACTTCATCGTTGGAATATATACCAGCGCCTGGTTCTCCCACGTACGACTTGATGAAGAAATCGGCCACAAAGAACGACAGCGATAGTGAGGAGGATACTCTGGATGCTTTTATGGCGGGAATCGATGCGGAAGTGAAGCGGAACGATTGCGCGGCTCAGAGCGGTGATAATCGTAAGGAAGAAAAATCCAAAGGATTTCGGGCTGACATTGACGGAGAGGACGACGAGGAAAGTTACTATAGGTAATAAATTTCTTGGATATTGCCAATCACTTATTCGACGTAAAATTGTGACGAGCTGTGCAATTCCATTTTTCTCTCGTTCCTAAGGTATATGGAGGAAAATCCAACTGCTGGTTTGCAACAAGAAGAGTCCGATCAAGAGATCGAATACGATGAGGATGGCAATCCTATTGCGCCGCCGAAGAAGAAGGAGATCGATCCGCTACCTCCGATCGATCACAGCGAAATAGAATACGAACCGTTCGAGAAAAACTTTTACAATGTGCACGAAGAGATCGCAAGTTTAAGTAAACAGCAGATTGACGACTTGAAAAAGACTCTGGGTATAAAAGTATCCGGACCATCCCCGCCGAATCCGGTCACAAGTTTCGGCCATTTCGGGTTTGACGATGCGCTGATTAAGACTATCCGTAAAAACGAGTACACGCAGCCCACGCCTATTCAGGCGCAGGCGGTCCCTGCCGCCTTAAGCGGACGGGATATAATTGGTATAGCGAAAACCGGCAGCGGTAAAACGGCGGCATTTATCTGGCCGATGTTAGTGCACATTATGGATCAGCGCGAATTGAAAGCCGGAGATGGCCCGATCGGTCTCATTTTGGCGCCAACGAGAGAATTGTCTCAACAGGTATCATAGTTTCATTCCCTCTGCTACGCAATACGAAAATGTTCGAAGGTTGTTTATGTGAACGTTGTTTATAGATTTATCAAGAAGCAAAAAAGTTTGGGAAGGTTTACAATATTCAAGTGTGTTGCTGCTACGGAGGTGGTAGTAAATGGGAACAGAGTAAAGCATTGGAAAGCGGCGCGGAGATCGTAGTCGCTACCCCCGGTAGAATGATCGATCTAGTTAAGATGAAAGCAACGAATTTAGCTAGAGTTACATTTCTAGTTCTGGACGAAGCCGATAGAATGTTCGACATGGGATTTGGTGAGCAAACGCACGATCATATATACGCTGAGAAAAATATATCGAATTTATCTCTTATTTATTTATTTATTTTTAATAGAGCCACAAGTACGATCTATATGCAATCACGTGAGACCCGACAGACAAACGTTGCTATTTAGCGCGACATTCAAAAAGAAAGTAGAGAAGCTCGCTAGGGACGTTTTAACAGATCCCATTAGGATAGTGCAAGGAGATGTCGGTGAGGCTAACACCGATGTGACGCAACATGTTATCATGTTCCATAACAATCCCAGTGGTAAATGGAACTGGCTGTTACAAAACTTGGTTGAATTTCTAAGCGCTGGCAGTCTTTTGATCTTTGTCACTAAGAAGGTGCGAAAACTAAGCATCCCGTAACTGTAGTACAATGTGAAAGGGATGTGTAATCTAATGTTTTTCCCCTCCCACATCAGCTGAACGCGGAAGAGCTTGCCAACAATCTCAAACTGAAAGAGTTTGATGTATTACTGTTGCACGGTGATATGGATCAGATTGAGAGAAATAAAGTGATTACGGCTTTTAAGAAGAAAGATGTCAGTACCTTGGTCGCTACTGACGTAGCTGGTAATTAAACTGTTAAAGAGTTAGAAAAAGAAAAAAAATATATATACACATATAATATGCAAAATTTTTATCTTGTAACATTTCAGCGCGAGGTTTGGACATTCCACATATCAAGACTGTCGTGAATTATGATGTATCGCGAGATATCGATACGCACACGCACAGAATAGGAAGAACAGGACGAGCCGGTGAAAAAGGCACGGCGTATACCCTTGTGACAGAAAAAGATAAGGAATTCGCCGGACATTTGGTACGAAATTTGGAGGGAGCGAATCAGGAAGTGCCAAAGAGCTTGATGGATTTGGCTATGCAAAGCGCATGGTTTAGAAAATCAAGGTTCAAAGGTGGAAAAGGAAAAAGTTTAAATGTCGGTGGAGCAGGACTTGGTTTCAGGGGCAGACCCAATTCATCAAATTCGGTATACATCGCAACGATAATTCACAAAGTAACTGGTTATTTGTTTTCTAGAACAATTGGAATAATATTTGTATATTTTAGAGTGGATCAACGTCGCAAGCATCAAAGGATATTAGTGAGGTAGTTAAAAAGTTAGAAAGGCACGGACCTGGTAGCGACAGACTCTCCGCTATGAAAGCCGCTTTCCGAAGTCAATATAATTCGCAGGTGAGACACGTGTAATCGCTTCTATAAGATGTGCCAAGAAATAAAAATTCAGAAATACATATATTTTTAAAATAATCTCGAACTTGTAGTTCCGAGCGTCGTCGGATCACACCTGGGAACAGACGATCACTCCACCTTCCGTGATAATGCCGCCACCGCCAGCCGTTCCATCGCCGAAGCCTGCAGCTCCAGAGAATCAAGCTGCCAATTCCTCAGGACCGGAGCGTAAGAGAGTGCGAAAAAGTCGATGGGAGTGATCAAGTTAGTGTATTATTATTTGTGCATATTATACAGCATATAAACATTATATATCGAAACGATAATGAACTGAGACTTGTTTTATATTACAATAAAATTTAATTTTACCAATTTGTATGAAGGAGCTATCCCTTTGGCCAAACTCGTGATACCTAATCATCAATCCGATCCCGATAACTCCATCAACGACATATTACTCTTATTTTACTGCAATTTCGCGGAGGTCAAGCTGCGTGTAGTTCCTGTATCGATCTGTAATCGCATCTTTGAAAGCGCGCGTACGCAATTTGCTTAGAGTGAATCACTCCATAATTATCCCATAAAGAGCCGTGGCCGTGATCGTGTATCTACAGCGATCCTTTTAATTTCACGATTGTACCCCTAATTACGCCTTACAAAAGTGATCGTGCCTATCTTTCCGGTAATTATGTCGTTGAAGAACGGGTGTTTATTCATGTTTATTTTTTAGTCTCAGTTTATTAACAAATTACACCTGTATAGAAAATACAATACATACATTTATTGAAAAAAAAAAGAGATAAACCAATCTTTTATATGTATAATTGTGAAATTATAAAACTTTGAAACTTCTAAAAAACATCAAAGAAAATTTAAGAATGTTTTATGAATATTTAAAAAAAAAGCATAGTGCGTAACTGAGACGATGATTTATGTCAGAATCTCGAAGTAACTACACTCTACTTTATCCACTATGCCCTTGTTTTTCTGAAAATATATTCACCACCCTTACTCTGGCGGTATATGCACGCGTGCGCGCGCGTGAATAAGGATAAGTGTTCCCTTAATATGGTGATTAAGCCAAAGGGGTAACGCTTGAGCCGTCGATCATGCGCTCGACGCAAATCGAGTGGGACGTTAATGACGGCCGGTAGAATCGCTGACACGTGTCTCCGCGTGTCATTAAGCCACGTCGATACGCTTACGATCGGAGATGTCGGCGCGTGGCACTGCAACGGAGTTTCTAATGCCCGTGAATCGCCCAAGGTTCGCATTCACGGTCATCTGCCAAGGTTGCGAGAACATTATCTCTCTTCCGCCTTGTTAAAATATAGAGAAAAAAAAAAAGTATCAATCTCCTTCTCACTTCGATTTCGCGTTACTGCAATCCGCATCACGTCCAGTCGAATATTCCTTCAGGAACATTAAATGAATGTACATATTGTATTTATGACGTCAGGTCTCTCATCCAAATTACATTGCAGCGTACGTTATAGCGAGCATCTAAAAGATCGAGATCCTTAAGGATTTACATATTGCGGCATCGCAGGACTACTCTTTCTTCTAGTCTTTTCCAACTGTTGCGTGAGGATCGTCGAGCCCAGTGACTTCTTCGTGGCGTCTATATTTTTACCGCTAAACTTTTCCATCGCCCTGGTGTACGAGCCGGTACAGATCCGCCCCCAGACCTTCCGGTCGTCCGCGCACTGTCTGTTTCTTCCCTCGCTACACGTTCGCTGGACGTCGCTCTTCTTCGCGACTCTGTAAACGTCCTCCTTCTCCAGGGACGTGCTGGAGCCCGTAGCGACCTGGACGTCCTCCCACGACACGTTCACGTCAGACTGCACGCTCGACGGCGTGGGGCAGCTGCTGTCGCTGGACAAGGAAGAGGATCGGATGAAGGACGGTGGTACCATCAGCTTCGTTCGTTCCTCCGACTGATTGTCATTTGAAGGCGGTTCGCTTTTCGCGCGAGAATTCGTCGCCGTGCAGCCGCCGGGACCACTCTCTTGATTGTCATGGACGAGATTGTCGTTTAAGATAATCTTCGCGATCGATGTTCTCTTCCTCAGATTTTCCAGATTTTCTCTAGAGGCACTTTGGGAATTGTCCACCCGTTGCAGAATATCCTTGAGATTTACATTCGCGGAATCGGCGCCAAAACTCGGTTTGGCTCGCTCGATCTTAGGCATTCTAGGTCCGGGTTTCCCGTTAGCCGCGACAACAGTCTTTTTCGACGCTTCGCGATTGTTGTCTTTGGCCGCGACAGTTACGTTCGAGTATATGTAATTTGGTAATCTCTCTTTTTGACGTACCGGAACGGTAATTCTCGGTTGCACTTCCAGCGATTTTGCATATTTCTCCTCATTTTTGTCCTCGAGCGTATCTGTCTTGCCGGACATAGCATCTTTCACGCATTGCTTGTACTTCTCGTCTATCGTAGTGTCAAGGTTGTTCTGAGTACCCGCAATATCCGCATTGTCGACGAAGATACTCCCGTTATTCTCCTCGGATCGCAAGAGCGACCATCGATCTAAGGATAAATTCGCTTCCTCCCGAATCATTAAATCCTGCGAAACATCGGTTACACCTACCTTCGCACTCCCCGCGGAATCCCTTTCATTTTTCGCGGCATCATCCTTCGTACCGTCCCGAGTCTCGTCCTCATTGTCGTCGTCCTCGTTGCCGGAATCGTTGTCGAGGCTCTTCAAGATGCCCTCATTCTTCTCGTTGCGCTTCCTGAGCTCTTCCCAGTTCTTTCGCGGCTTGTAGCTCGTCTTTCGCCTGACGATCTTGCTCTCGGTGATGTTGATGTCCGGGATGAAGAGACGCAACGCCTTCGTGCCGGTCGGGAACATCATCTCGTTGATCCGCCTCTCGGACATGATTGCCCGTAGGCTCGTCTTCGAGGCGACCTCCTGATGCTTGTTGAAGGCGGAGACCAGCTGCGCCACCGTGAACTTCGGCTCGTCGTTCTCCGACTCCGTCGAGCGATCCTCCTTGTCGTCGGACGCCGCCGAGTTGTTGGAACGGCTGGACACGTCGGAATGCTGACGTTCGCAGGGATGTTTGTCCGCGTTGGCGGGCACCGCGTTGCGGCACAGCGGCATCTCGTCGGAATCCTCCGTCAGAGTGTCCGATTCGACGGACTTGAGAGAATCTAGATTCTCCTCGGATTCCGCGGTGAGTTTCTTCGACGTCTGCGGTTCTGCGTTCTTCGCTGCGCGTTGCGATTCATTAGCCGACTCAACGCGATTCCGATCGCTACTGAAATCGCTCGGTATCTTCGTTTCTGTCGACGAAACGATCGGCACACTTTTTCGCTCGATTTTATCGGATGTTAAATCGCTCTCCGATTTTACGTCAACGGCCAAACGATCGTCGCTGATCGAGGGTGTGAGTCTAGAGGACGCAATCTCGGCACCGAGTTGCTTGAAAATCGGCAACATGTCCTCGGTCCTCGCGCGCTGGTAGCTCTTCCTTCGCCGTTTTAGGCATTCCAGACTTCTATAGATGTCTAGAACGCCCTGAGACTTGGACAGGGATCTCAAGCCGTACAGTTTCTCGCGGGACTTACTGATTACGGGATTCATCGTGGCGACAGCACCGGCTCGCCCGCAGTTGATCGGCGAGGATCCGTTCAGCAGACACGCTTGAGACTGAACGTGATTCAGACTACGAATCCTCGACAGTATACCGCGACTCAGGCCCTGATTCAGATTAGCCTGAGATCGGCTCTGAGCTTTACTCAGCAGTCCCTGGGTTTGTTCTTGATTCAGCAGACAGCTCTGGCTTGCGCAACTCAGGCTGGTTCTGGAGGAGTTCAGGCTGGCCTGAGAATCCGCCGGGCTGGTGAAACCCTCGCTACCCTCCAAACTCGAGCGACTTCCGGTTAGGCGATGGCTCAGACACATCTCGCTTTGGCTGAGCATGCAATCCTGTAAGCCCTGTTGACGGTGCTGATAATTCTGATCGCTTTCCGATCGGATGTCCCCCTGGCAGAGACTCGCCTGGCTGGTCGTCTGGCTAATCAGCGCGGCCCTCCTCAGATTCTCACGACTAACCACGCGCTCTAAAAGAACCTCCCGCGACTTCGACAGATACCTTCGCAGATGCGGCGACGCCTGTGTTGGCGCGCCGCGCAGCCAGTCGTGGCGCAGGCATTGCTTCGCGGTCATCCGTGCACTTAGAAAATAAAAAAGGGGGAAAATTTATTTTTTAATACAATTTATTCGAGAAAATCTAAGCGCGATAAATTGTACGTCAATATGGACTCGAGAATTTATCGAATTACTTTCAATGTACGACGATGCAAGAGTTTTCAGTATTTCGAAGTATTTTAAAACGTTCTAAATTCTTCAAAATTTCTAATTTTTTATAATATTCGAGAGCGCAATTCGAATCTTTATGTGACGAAATTGTTTGACAACACTGTCGAAAGAAATATTCGATCGCTCACTAATCTTACATACAATAATTATACCTTGGGTCTAGCACCAAAAGTTTTGCGACAAAGTCTTTTGCCTGCACCGAGACATCCTCAAACAGCTCTTCGGGGAAGTCCACCTCCCCTAAAGATATATTCTGGAAGGTCTCCTGATCGGTCTCGCCGCCGAAGGGCGAGAAACCCGTCAGCAGTACGTAGGTCGTGACACCGAGCGACCTGGAAAAGAGGATATTTTCGTAGACGAAGGAAACTCGCTCTGCATCTGCGCAGAAAGGGTAAACGAAACATGCCACGTTTGGCCTTACCACATATCGGCTGCCAGCGTGATCGGCTCATAATGCAGTATTTCAGGCGCTGAAAGAGAGAAATGTAAACACGATTGAATGGTATGGAAATGTGCGCACAATAGCAATCAGCGGTCTCACGTGCCGAGGTCTCTCCTCCGCACGTCCACTTATTTCGTGTCCAGTGACCTCGCGCGTGACGTCATTCGGATTCGCAAGCGTCATTTTTATTTACATATGAAAATCGAATGTGGGCCGATATGTGCGAGAGATGAGATGAGGATCTCGCGGTTTCGGGACGAATTTCGCGTTCGGGATGTTACCGCGACGATTCTACGCGTCGGAATTTCAGGCTCTCGGCACCTCGTCGCCCAAGATCGTCATGAGAGTCCCCGACGTACCTGGATCCGCGTGAAGCCCCCGTAAAAGTTCAGCGCGAGCGGAGCAAGGAGATATTGCAATGACTATTCCGGTCTATCGCCGTCAGACCGTCCGACCGGATTGCCTCGACCGACGATACGATCTTAAACTGCCCACCATCCCGCCGACCCCGCTTGTTGATCCTATTATTTCGTAGACAGGACGCGATCGTGCGCGGTGGCGACACGCATCAATTAAATCGCGCGGCGGGTAGTCCACACCGGTTTCTGTCTGTTAAGCAGACGGATTTAGAGCGCACCCTGTCTTAACGGGCGTAACGGTTACCCACCTCCGACACCTCGCCGCTTGACATTTCGCTGTTACAGCGAATGAGAAAATGAGATAAGTGGGCGGGCGAGACCGATTGAAGCCGACACCGGCGATGATTAATCGGTAAATAATTTTCGGCGAGTTCCGAAGGAACGCGACGTTTTAAATTGCAAATCATATTTGGGCTTACGACGGGCTCGACGAAGAGGCATTGTTCGCGCGAGATCTCAATTTTCGCGCGCGAGGCAGGGACAGAGATAAAAAGAGAAAGAGAGAAAAAGAAAGGAAGAGATTGCACAAAGGAGGGAACGTTAATTCATCGGCCGTCCGACTTTGTTATTTACTTCGTTCCGCGACGTAGAGGCCACGACGCGTCGATTACCTTGCCTGGAAACGGCACGATTTGAAGAGACCGACGTCAATTACGGCAGAGGGGGATCGAGGGGCCCGCCGCGTGTGCGTATTCGTGTGCGTAACGGGCCCTCTTCCCTCCTCTCCTCCCCGCCGAGTTTTATTAAGGGCGCGCGTCTGTGGGCTCGGCAGCGTGCAATAAGGCTAACGTGTCAATTAATATCGATTATATTTGCGATCTCGCCACGGTGATTGTCAATTAGCGGACCCAGATAATGATCGGTAGCAATTAAGCTGCGCGGCAGAGAGCAAAGAGCGCGGACGTACCACCTGGACGAGTTCCCCTTTCGAAACGACGTCACCGTGACTCCTTGGCACCAAGTAATGCCCGGTACACGGCTATCTCTCGACAGCCATAATGTGGCAATTTATATTTTTGTATTCTTGATTAAGGAAGTTTGTCAAGCCACTATCGGCGCCGATCTCTCGGCAATCTCTCAACTTCGGGCATGCTCCAAATTGTTGCTCTCGAAAGAGATTTATGAAGCGCGTTAAATTTTCGAAATTTCGAATGACGTTAATACGTCGCGGTAGAAGACGGAACATTTTATTCTTCTTACTCGTTATGGCAGTAATATAACGAAAGAGACCGGTTGTCTTGTTAAAAAAAAGTTTTTTTCTTAGCAAGTAACTTTCTAACCGTTACGTAACACATATATTTTCGGTATAGATAAAAATATTTTTCTTTTCATTGTGTATTACGTGTTTTAATTTTTATCACTTTTATTTAATTATTATTTGTATTTTAATTTTTATTATTTTTATTATTATTATTTCTATATTTTTTAAATTTAAAGAATAAAAGTCATATTTTTTTCTTCGCTGTAAGTTTCAAAATTCTTCGACATCGTTAAAATGGATCCGAATCGATAGCCTACATATACTACTTAAAAATTAAATTTCCCATCGACGTATAAGTAAAATGAAGTAGTAACTACACTGAGAATTTTAGAAGGCCGGTCACTCACCGACATAATCCGGCGTACCAAGAATCTCCCGGACCTCAGTGCCCTCGAGAATCACTCTCGAGATTTCGAAGTCGCATAGCTTAACATCGCAGTCCGGGAAGGAGCCCATCATGACCAGATTTTGAGGCTGTAAAAGAATCAAAAAAAAATTCCATGCACACTTACACGTATAATGTTTATTAAGAAAAACTTTGATATAAATGAGGAAATGATCTCAAAATTGAATCTCTCCGAAGCCTAACTGATCAGTCCTTCCTTATCAATTTCTCAATTTTAGTGTCAGGGTGTGATTAGTATATTAATACTTTGACTGCTGTATATATCCAATTGAAGCCATTGATACATACCTTGTATGTGAATTTCACCGGCGCCATCATATATCAATTTTAGTGTTAATTTAACACATATTTTCTATTTACTATCACTTGATGAACCGAGAACACTTTGAATTAATTTTTTTATATGATATAATTGTAATTTTTTTAAGAGAGATCAACTTTGCCTATTATTAAAAAAATATATGTTATCGGAAAATGTATACTTCAATGTGAAAGATTTACTTAAATTTACATTATTTAAAACATAATATAGTATAAGCGCCAGGGGACCGATAAAAAAAATTTATGCGACAGTCAAAGGATTAATCTAACTTCGTTAATTTTCTCTGCTGTCTGTTTTATGGACTTGATCGGTTTGACTTCTGACAAGCTAAATTATTATCCGGCCTCATCGTGCAATGCACGCATCCGCACGATCAAATCGCCTTGCATGGTGTTATCTTGCGAAACAGATAGTTTCGCTGGGATCGCGTCCGTATCTCCGAAGAGCTGAACTGTCCTGTCGGCCGTTTTATTGCGGTCGTAACCAAAGGGATGCGATCGGTCTTCCGCGTGCTCGCGCGCCGATAAGGGCGCGCGAGCATATTAACGGCGTGAGGAAGCGATTTCTGTATCGCGTTACAGCGCGCCCGGTTCCGCCGGTGAATGGAATTTCGGTGTATGCGCGTCGTTTAGATTACGGAATCGCGATGCCATGACCGCGCTTCGACGAGCCGTTTCTGAGGTTCGCACGGGGACATGCATCGTGCGTTCTTCCGCATCCGGCAATCGTCCCTTTGAATTTACTTTGAATTCTACGCTCGTTCGGGCTCGCGAAATACCTCATATACCTCGCGACAAAGAGAAACAAGAGGAGAGTTCAATGAGCGCATGCAGTGCGCGACTCGGGCGGAACGCGCGGCGCGCCGCCGGTCTTCGACCGTTTTTGCGACGACCTGGTGAATAGCGGCGTCTGTTTGCCGATATAAATGCTATCTCGATCGCCGGCCACTGTGGTCGCTGTGTATTCGTCGTGACGACACGGCCGCGATCGATCGCGGACGAGGGAAATAATTAGTCGCGAAAGAGACATCGTGGGTACCGGCGCGATATTATCCCGAGATAATTTATGAAAGCGTCCGTATCGGACGTGAAGGGTAAGGAGCGCTACCGCGAACGCTACCGCGCGCTAACGATTCGCGGCGGATCGCCGTGAATTCAAAGACACGCCGACAATCCAATTACCATAAATCGTCAGTAGTAATCGGCGTATAACGAAGGTCGCTGACTACCGAAGGCTGCCGTTATTATAATTGCTGACATAATCTAGATCGCAACGATCTCGTGCGATTTGACATATTTCTATATTTTATATATATCGACCGCAGAATCACGGCTTTCGCCAGCCGCCAGCAGATCGCCCGAACGAACGAGTCGAGTATGCAACGCACGTACGTCGCGTATATATTCGCATGTGGAGCAACAACTCGATTGAGCAAGATATGATAAAGCGGCAACTAGCTGTCCGTAGGTGTCGAGGTACAAAAAAAGCTTGTCCCGCGTTTTCTTTTTTCATGGTAAATAGGAGCGTGCTCGCATCGAGTTCCAAGCTTATATGCATCTTCAGCTCGTCGCGATGAAGACAAAACGCGAACGGAGGACGACCCTTTTTCGAGCGTCGTCGGCGTTCGGGCTCGGTCAGCATCACGCTTTAGCGGGAGGAGCCTTGGGCATTTTCACGTAGGCGCGCCTGAATATTCAAAGTTTCTCTCGGCCGCGCGCGCGACTAATAAATAATGACAAAAGACGTAAAAATAAATCTCGCCGGCCCTCGGAGATACGTAATTCCCTCCGACGACGGGGCCATTACGTGGCGGGAATATTACGCGGGGCCGTGCTCTCCGCACGTCGGGGCTTTACGGGCGGCAATAATATCGCGCAGCAGCTCGCGAACAACCGCGCGTGCTGCAACCGAATGACAAGCAGACCTGTACTAGCGGGTAGAACTATACGGAATAATGCGCGGCTCGCAATCGCGCTCGCGAATCAAAACGGCGGACGCCGCCCATCTTCGTCCGCCTCGCGCTCGTGGCCTTTTTCGAGAGATTTATTTTCCGTCGGGTCTCGCGTTTTTTTTTCCCCGTGAAACGACTGTCGATTAAGCCAAGAGCGCGAAATAATTGTCATTCAGGCCGGCCTGCCGCTCGCGAACTCGGAGAGGGATCGAATGACGCGATCGAGAGATCGCGGTGCGCGGCGTGTTCTCGTTGTACGCGAATCCAATTTACGGATGGATTCGCTCGACGAAATAGGAAGCGCGATCGATACAACGCGATTCATTTCCCAGAAACAAACATTTGGACTGCGACATCGAGCCTGCACAAGAGATTTTCTTTTTCATTCGATCCGATCTATTGGAATTGAACAAGTATCTGATTTCTGGAATACAATTTGTAACGAAAATATCGGGACGCTAAAATAAAAACGATAAGCATGCAAACGTATGTTCCATATATGCCACTCGAAGTTGTACATTATAATATCTTGACTTTTTAATTAATCGCCTCTGGGTGTGCGAATTCCACAAATTGCAAATGAAGTCTGATCTCAACGATCGCCTTGGGCATCTGTTAATCAATTTCTTTTAGCGTTATGACATTGGTAAATATCTAACCAATTCCCCGGACTTTCCAGAAGGATATGATTGGCAATCCCACACGAATTGACGAAATCTTCTCGCGTTGACCAAACAGACGCGTGGGCTCGAGCGAATATACATCAAAGTCGGCTGACTGTTCAATCGAACCTATACTTGTCCTACGTGAGAGAAAAAAGTAAATATACTGCACCTGGCTGAACCGAACCGGTGTAAAGAGCTATGCTAATACATCTCGGATATAAAATCGTACGTCGCCAGGTGTTACGGACGTAAGGCTACCTGTCGATACCCAAGTCCGAATAACTCGCGTCGCGTCGCGCGATTTCCCTCGCGCGGGGGAACTCTCTCGGGTTATCGGGGAGTTGCTCCGGTTATGGCAGCCCAGACGCGGGTACCCCACGGAGAGGAGGTAGGAAACCAGGTGGTGATTCACCGAGAGTGTGTGTGCACAACCGGCGAAGGAGCAGGGCGTGGTCGTCCGCTCGCTGCACGAGCGCGAGAAGCGGCGTCGCGCGCACCGTTTTCTTTTCTTCTCCGCTTTTTTTTTCCTTCCTCTCCTCCTCCGCGTCGCGAACTCCCCGCGATCTTTCGCGGCGATCTCTCGCTGCTCGGTGCGATATCTCGTCTCCGCGGCGCGCTCCCGCGGACCCCGCACATCAGTGTGGGCGGCACCGGACTCGAGCGATATCCCGCGATATCCCGCGAGACGAGACCAAGACACGAATCCAATCGTCTGTTTTGTTCCGTTCTTATTCCCGCCCCCCCTTCCCCTCACCCTTCATGCGGATTCTCCACGAAGCGTGGACTTCACGCGAGCTTCGACGTGGATGTTTCGACGTGGTGGCGAAATCCCTCACAGTTCTCTCCCGTTTCTCCCGGCGCGGCTCGTGAGTCCAGACGGGGAAATCGCACGTGCGATATTTGTTCGGGGTTCGTGCGCGAACACCCAACGGCGGGAGAGCTCCTTTTTCTCCCCCTCACGTGCTATATATGCCGCACCGCCAAATACGGCAGCGGCGTGTTTATGGAGCGCGGGAATAATGTTCACGTCGTATATACGCAACGGCGCGATATACGTATATATACGTATACACTCCGCCGCGGCGCGCTTACGAAATAAATCAGGTGGTACCCATTCGTCGGGAACTTGAGCAACGAGCAGCTCGTAGTGGGTCAAAGTTAATTTATTGCGTCACCCCCCTTCTCGCGCGCGGGTAAACGCCAATCGACCCATCGTGCACTGATTCGCGTGATTAATTTTCGTTCTTTGAATTAATCGTGCCGAACCGACCCTCGGTCGACCGGGACTCTTTGTTTCACACGCGAGAGTAATCGAACTCTCGGCTCGGCGTAATGCAAATCGACCTTAACTCGCGCACGCGGAGGATCGCAAAAATAAAATACGCAAGGCGGACGTTGGCGAACGACGACGTCGGGTATATCCCCGCTACCTCGCTCGAGGATGTCGCTCGAGCTGCTAAAGGCTCGACGATCTCTTTCTCTCTCTCTCTCTCTCTCTCCCCCGCGAGGATAACGAGGAGGAATCTTCCGTAACGAGCGATTCCGACGACCTCGTCGAATCAAAATGCACTTTACGGCACGGAGTCGCTTCTACATCACCCAGCGTGTTGTTGTCAGCTTATTTTTTTTCCGCGAATATTCACGCGATTTTACAACCTGGCACACGTTCACCTCGCAATCCGACTAATCCGGCTCGCGATCATCGTTTTCTTTGATTAGTGAATTCTTTGATTAGCGACGAAATAAAATGTACGGTAAGAGTTATATCCGAATGGAACGAGATATATTTTTCTAACGTACTTCTAATCCAACCGACAGGAGCCGACAATAAATAATGCGAACGCACACACTTACACTAATGGAACGATGATGAAAAGTCATCACGCCACGTGTGAAAGAGCGTGTGAGAGAAATAGTCAAAAATATCGTGGAATAAATGTTCTCAAACTCTGAGCCAAACCGAGTCCAGCGAGACAGCCGCACACCGTTTGCCGAGACTTCTAAGCCCCCGACATTTTTACGCAGCGCGCGACTGGACGCGTAACGATAAAACTATCGCTGTCGAGATTAAAGACCGTCGAAGATTAAAGACCCCTTCGCGCGTAAATGTCGTCGACTGTGCGATACCGACGACGCGTCTGCGCGTAATTAACGCCGTTCAAGAGCATTTTATGGCCGAAAAAGAGAAAATAAAAATAAAAACGTCGCAAAAGTAAGGCAGTCCGAGACATTTACTACTGCCCGTACGAGACTCAGACATTCGGCAAAAAAAAAAAAAAAAGATCTGTCGGCTTCGAGAAAATAAAGCGAGCTCGAAGCGAGTCGTCATTCACTGGACTGAGTGGACAATTCATTCGTTCCGATGGGACTCCGAGCACACTGCTTGATTTTCATAGCACTGACTCAGAAGGATCCCAGAATAATTCGTGTAACATCGACAAGAAAAACGTTATGCTGAAAGCGCGGAACGTCTGGAACGCGGGCTTTTTTTCGCTGATGAACGGCGAACGAAATCAACACCGACGACTCGGGGAGAAGCAAAACACCGCTCACGAAGGTGTCTCAAGTTTCGAAAGTCCGGTCGACTCGTCCGTTTTCCATCCTCGTTCGTCGTCGCGCGAACACGACGCGAGGAACCACGTCCCTCTTTTTTTTTTTTTATAATTTATTTCTTCGTAAAGCCCGTACGTAAAAGCGAGTTCGGTTTCCGTGGATGTCGAAACGGCCCGTTGCGCTCGCGATAAATCGAAAACGAAGGCGAGGCTGGCCCGTGTACTTGTGATTTCGTTTGGGCTGGATTGATTTTTTTTTTCTTCCCTCTCGTCGTGTCGCGCCGCGATCGAGGTGACCCTATGATCGAACAGCGCGCGTACGTGTGTATGCACATACGTGCGTCTGTCTCTGTGCGCAGCATAAATGGCAATTCCAATTTGTTTTCGAGAGCTTATCGTTCATCGTCCCCGCGCGATCGATAGCGCGACCGATCGCAATTAAAACTCCCATCCGGTAGCCGCGTTATATTGTTTTTATTGTTTTTACGAAACGGAGACTGTGTCACTCGATGACTGTCCAAGCTCATTCGATCAGTTAACACATGTCACTTGTACGAAAGTATTGACTGTATATCGGAATATACATGTACCGGTTAGTGACGTTGTATCAAGTAAAACAGACACGACAATAAGGAGTCACGCTCGCGGATTGAGTTGTTCGTGAAATTTCCCAGCGTGCTCCCTTCGTGCTTCCATCTCGTTGTGTGCGAGTACGGAGAAAACGGTTGGAAATTTCTGGCGGCGCAGATCGGTTCCGGGATCCGGATACACGAGAGAAGCGTGACAAGTTCGCATCTACCTTTTATGGATCGAACTTACCTTGATGTCCAAATGGGCGATATTTCTCTCGTGGAGGTAGGCGAGTCCTTCCACTAGCTGCCGCACAAAGTGTACGACGTCACCTTCGAGGGGCACCAAATCGCCGTCGATGAGCGTCTGTAAATCGCCTCCGGGCGCGCTGAAAAAGAAATCGTCATTTCTTGGGAGATAATATCTGAGATGGATGATGCTTAGGATGCTTTGAGTCATTTCCAATCATTCCTACAAGTCGCCACTACTCCTACTCAATATGTTAATTCTGTCGTTAATTCAATTAAAACAACGCAGTTGAACAATTTAGCTTATTATTTTTACATGGTAATTTGGATGCTATTTATTTTGAAACTAAGAAATTCATCATGGAAATGAATTAATTAGATGTGATTGTTTTTTAACCACATTTTTCGAATTAAAAAAAACATTTTGACACACATAGAAATTAAAAATAACAAAATGTTATTTAACTCAGGAGTTGGTTTAAATTTGATCTTTTAGTATTTAACAACGTAGTTATGAGCGATTGTTATTATTTTTCCTATAAATGCTTCACAGCGCTATTCTTCTGATTTAATACAACTGATATTACAAAATTTATGTATATATAAAGCGAAAGATTTAATCTAGTAGAAAATAAAGAACAAGAACGCAATTACTTACTATTCCATGACTAAGATAATTTCCTTCGGCGTCTCGTAGACATCGTGCAGCCTGACGACACGTGGCGATTGCGAGCACAGGGACAGCAAAGCGATCTCGTGTCTCAGTTCCGCGCTACAATCGGCGTTGAATCGGTTCCTGGACGAGTATTTGGCCGCGTAAAGAATGCCGGTCGATCGCGACCTGCAGCGATAGACTCTCGCCCACTGACCGCTGTTAAGTTTTAACAAATCCTTTGTTAATACTTACACGAGAAGAAAAGAAAGGAGGGGGAGAAAAAAACGTGGACCCTCCCCTGCACAAGATGCAATCCCGTGATACTCCATATATTTTAATCTCAAATCGCAACGTTGAAAAATCGCCGGAGATAAATTGTATAAGATATGAAACGACGCGCGCACGTGCGAGAATAAAATGAAGCGTAACGTAAAATGATGGAGAGTGACGGTACGATTTATATTTACGATTGTCTGTTGCCCGCTCGATCGGATGTTCCCGATGCAGCTTCGGTCTTTTAACATCGATTGACTTTGCGTTTTCACGCGATGAATTTTATCCTTGAAAAACAAGTCGATGCCCAAATGCTACCGCTTTCCCCCTCGACATCGTTCATTGCTCGAATACTTTTTTCATCGAATTCTCCAATACGTTTCTTCTCTCGCTACTCCTCGTCGCATTCTTCTCTCATGCAGCGACTTCGAAGCACTATACGAAAACGCTTCGTTTCTACGAGCGTTTTCAGCCATCGCTGATTTGTAGACAGCGTATTTTTTTTATGCCCTAACAATTTTATTTTTTACTTCACCATCCATCGCGGGAAACATCTTTTGGTGTTCTATTTTCGACTTTTCGTTCCACGAGAATTTTGTTCGCTTTGACGACGTTCTCTCGCTATTTTGACGACATTCTATTCGCAGTGCTATCTAACGTTTCACGGAATGATCCATATTATTTACAGTCGCGGGCGCAGCTCTTCGTTGAGCTAAGAATCTCAAACTCGCCGTCGAGGATTCCGGTCGTCTCTTCGGCAAGGTCGACACAGCGGCGCCTGGCAAGGCTGTACTCGTAATGCGCACCTCACGTTTTCACCCGTGTGTCGAGTGAGCGAGCGCCTTTATCCACGAGAGAGTGTGTTACATAAACGGCGGTGAGTCCGTAAGATAAAATCATAGACGGTGCCATTAACTTTCTACACTGAAATCATAAATAACCCGACGTGCTGTCTTTCGTCCGTTTAAGGTCGACGAACAAGAATTCTTCATGGAACTTAAATATTATTTATTGATTGTTTCATATTTTTTTTGTATATAATCGATTAATTAAAATCGTCGAATCGGAGGAAGTGCGAGGGTAATCTCGTCGGATCTTTGAGATCAGGAGTCGGAAGTTGTAGTTGGGATCGCGTCTAGCGAATTGCCACGTGAAAACGTGCCTCGCGTGCAAATTGGCGACCCATCGCCACGGCAATATCCGCCGCGTCCTTTCGCGGTCGCGGAGATAAGGGTAAATGAGCATCTGATAGCGCGCTGCGCAATTAACTTTAATCGATTCCAATTTTAAGGCCGCGCGCCGGTATGCATATCCTGAATTTTTCCACCCCTCCCGGATTCCGGAGAGATATACCTACACGACGTAAAAGCGCGAGACGGAGGAACAAAGGAAGCGACGGCAGAGACGGAGAAGACGATATATACGCCATAATTTTTCCTGCCCTTTACCGCGGGGCTCAAGGCTCGTTTCCAAAAGTAATTACCGCGGGTACAGAGCGGGTATCAAGAAACGCGCGCGTGCGCACACACACACGTACACATGAAGCTGTTAAATCGGCGAGACACACGCCGAGCCGCCGAGATAATACCCGCTGTATACGGCGCAACGATTAAAGAGCATTCGCTATTATTAAAGATCGGTACGGGCAGTAATCATAGAAAATTGGATTTTAGCGATCGGTCGCGTATTATAATGACGGCGATCGGGAAGTGTTGAAAGCCAAGCGGGGAGACGCGCGCGGCTGAATAATTTATGAAATATCGCCCTAGGGCGACTTCGCTTTTCGCCTCGACCGATTGCATGCAGACACAGATGTATGATAAAGAGCGCCCTGGTTCTTCGAGAACCGCTTCGGTTGAGGTCGCTGATATTTTAATCAATCAAAGGTGTCGATTTCAATTTTCATTATTAATTATACACGAGGAAGAACGGAGATAAGGAGGGAGAGGAGAAAGTGTCGTATCGCCGACACATAAGATGTATAATCGCGACAAATCCACGCACAAATAATATAATCTCCGTAAATATCGCAATTATCACTCAGTCCGATGGAACCGGCGACTGTTTACGTATTATATGCGAGACGCCTTTGTGCTCGCCAGCAACATGCAGGTAAATCAGCTTCATTAGCGATGCAAATGCCGCTGCAAGGAAATCGCACGGCGCGCGGCGGCTGATATCGGGCGCGCGAGCGGAGAGTTATCAGTGCGCGCACCGACGCTATCCGAGAAATTAAAACGGATGCATTAACATACCCATGAATATGAAACGCCTTAAAGTCCACGCTCGCTCTCTTGATCACGCCCTCTCGAAAGGGAGCCAACTGTACATATATATCGGTTTCGGTTAATAACCGTGCGCGATCGATACCGTCCCGATTAATCAATACCCCGCCGAGAAACCGGTACTGCCGCTCCGTGAGGACGTTGTATCCCACATTTATTGATTTATTTATTTATTCGTCTCGTTGAGACACACCGACGATGAACTGGGCGAAACCCGCTTTGAATCCGAATCCCGCTCCGACGCAGTTAAAGTTCCCAGATAACGTTAATCGGCAATTTACATTCGGCAGGGGTTTAAAACGACAAATTCGACGATTGATCGACGTTATTATTCGGAAAATTATTATTCGTCGCACACGCGGGAGTCATTAAATCGATCAATTTCACAGAAAGGAATGCCCGACGACGGGATAACGACGCGCGAGTAAATCACGAGCTGCACGGCCGTACCGGCCGTAAACGCCCGCGTGCGTGCAACAGGCGCGTTTCGTGCGACTCTAAATTAAATTATTAGCGCGAGAGAAATTGCAGGTTGGGCAATCGGCGCCCTATTACCCGATCCCGTCCCGTCACTACACCGGCGATCATTACCAGCCTAATTCGCGCGGCGATTAGCGGCGCGATGCAATAAATATGATTAATGCGCGACGCGCGTCACGTATCGTTGCGTATATTGCTACCGTGCGTAAAGCTTTGACAAATTACGCGTCGCATCCGAGGGCGATTAATCATTGTGCGTGGCTCGTTGCACGCGATGCGAGCCGCGACGAGGAGCGTCGGGACGAGATCGTCGGGGAGTAAATAACGCACAGTTCGCAAAGCGATAGCTGCGGGTAGCCAATTTTCGTGAAAAGAGTTTGCTCAGAAAAATTCAGCACATACCGGATTTATTATTAAAGATAATCCATTCTCGATCTATGTAATAATGTTGAGAAGCATCGCTGTTGCGTATGTAATTACATTTTACTAATGTTCTAATCAGTATAGTGTTTTATAAATTTCGCCATTTCCTACGATATTTTGACCTACGACTCTAAAGATGTAGCATTATAATATCGTGAACTCACCTCGCGAACGGTTTTGGATCGATCTCGTAGTGCTCTGTAATGGGTCCCGTCTTGACCACCCTGGCGAGCTGCGCCTCCTGAACGAGGACCAAGCCCTCCTTCACGTGTTTCTCACTCCACTGCACCCTGCATCTACCTCTGCATCTCTCCTCGTTGACCGCCCGATCGTTCGCCCGCTTCGTCTTGGCGCATTTCGCCGGGGACGCTTGCAGGCTATAACGACGTTGCGGTCCGGGCGACGACTTCCTGATGGACGACATCGTGGGCGCTTGATGACTCGACTGATGATAGATCATGGCAGCTGGATCGCGCGTGGACTTGGTATCGCGTGTGTTAAAAGACACGCGTATATACGATGTACATACGCGCTCAGCGGAGACTTCAACGCTTGGCGCACTCGCGACGTTTCACCTGATCTCTCCTCTTTCTTTCCGCAAATCTCTTCCCAAACTTGGTGCGATCGATTCAAGCGCGAGCTATCCAATCGCGCCACTCCGACGCTCCAAGCTTTTCGCTTCGGACTCGCGGACCCGCGATCTCGTTCCGGACAACTTCAATCCGCACTCTCGCTCTCGATCTTACGGCCTGCACTCTCCGCGTTCGATCTCCTCTCGATCGGCCACGCAGACGGAGCGAGCCGAAGCACGCGGTGTCATTCTATCATCGGGAAGGCGACGGCTCTACTCTCGCTGTACGACGCGATCGATGTCGATCCTCACATCTTGCGGCCGCGCGCGTTAGAAGGAGAGAGAGGGAGAGAGAGCGAGAGCGAGAGAGAAGAGAGGCAGAGAGATCGCGTGGCTCACGGTCCAGCGCCGAGTCTGAAACTGGCCGCTCTGCCGGAGTCAACGAGAGCACGAATCTCCTTCCGCGCGCTCCTTCCCAATTCACTCTCTTCCTTCTTCTTCGCGCGCTGGAGAGCACGCCGCGAATCCCGACACCGACACCGAGACCCCGGCCGTCTCTTTGGACTTCCCCTCGACTCACCCCGCGTCCTCCTGCCGCGATTCTCCAGGGTCGGCTTGAAATTCTCCACGCGGTCTGACTTCGTAATTATAGATGGACATGAAATAGCGCTTCGATATGCAAATAAAGTAGCGGGACTCATTGTTCCCCTCTCGCGTGAAAAGAAAGAGACGATTGTAATTTTACTGCCAACTTCATATGATAGGTATAATTCGCAATGAAATTATCTGAACGTGTGTGTGTGTATACAATACATATATATAAAATTATACACACGCAATATTACCTGTATATTTTATATTGTATGTAATACAAAGATATTAAAAATAATTTCATATAGAGAGTAGAAGCCGAAAAGTGAAAGTAGCGTGAGTTTTTATGATCGAATTCCTCGATCGAATCGAACTTTGACGCGTTGCGTTTCAAGTAGCTTGGGCTAAGGACCTATTTAATCGGGCTAACGACCCAATCGATAGGCCACTCGTAGAATAAGAGCCAACTACTGTACCGTGCCACTTTTAAACAGTGTGTCTCACCGCCCACTCAGTGCTCGTAACGTCCTACTTTTCCGAGCTACTTGCGTTCGCGGTGCTCTACTCGCGTTATTTTAAAAAGTGGACGTGGTGTTAATTAGGCGTCTGTGCACCTACGCGATATTTCCGCTCGGCTGATTCTTCGAACGAGTTTATGACTGTCGGGAGTTATCAAGCCGCGAGCCCGCGGCTTGCGAGTCGACCGAATCTCAAGGCGCCGAGAATATCTCGACTGTCGAATGAGGATTCACGGAAGTGTCAGCACAAAGAGGCATCCTCGATCGCGTTACAATCGACGCGCGCATTGCAGGAGCCACTTCGGAACCTGGAAAGGAAGCGGTTCACCGTGTCAGAAATTCTTTTTTCCCCTTCTCCCTCCTTATTCTCCTCGGCGCGCAACTTATGCACATGCATAATGGACTCGCGGGCCCGGACATCTACGCTGCGATCGCTGGCGCGAGAATTCCACCTACGTCAGAGAAGATACTTCACAGCATCACCACTACACCAGAAACGGCGCCGCGAACTAAAAGTAGCAATAACAACAACGACGACGATGACGGCGAGACATCCGCATCCAGTTCAGAAAGCAAGGGAAAGAAGAAGAAGGAAGAGAAAAAGAAAAATATCGTTGTCGAGGCTGGACCAACGATGTGCAGCTTCTCGGGTCAGGGCTATTCTGTTAGGATTTCTTTACCGCAAATAGTGCTCAGAAAATTTTTAAATCGCTAAACATGAGAAAAATAGAAAAAAACAAATAGATAAAAAAAGTATACTGAAAAATTGACATTAAATTATCCGAAAAATTATCTTACTGTGTTGAGGAAACAAAAGTTTGTGTTAAATTGGAGAGTCTACTGACAAGTATATGCAATGCGTCCGTCATGAGTTTAAATTTTTCATACATGATCTTGTGTACCTCATTATATAATGAAAAGAAAATTTTTTTTGAGAATTCTAGCCGAAATTTGAAATTTAAACTTACTAAAGTTTTAGACCCCACTCCATCTATTCACTTTATATTTTTATATAGAAATAAAAGATCAACGATTAATCTTTCTATATATTTTCTTTAACGTTAGAAATTCAGTTGGACTAAGATATTCGATAACAATTACATTGGTTTATATCTAATATCGAGTTTATCTCTTCTGAAAGATGGGCTAGTCCGCCCTTTTTTTATTCTCCGTTCACGGAGCACCGAGAAGTTCCCGCCCGTTTCAGGAAGAGATCCGTGTAATCGGATCGACCTTTAACTTCTCTCGTTACAATAATGGAGGCTGGTCGAAGGGCCGGTCGCGCGGTAATTGGAAATTACCGTGTTGTCGCGCATGGTGGGTCACGAGAGCGCTCTCGAGAGCGCGCGCCAACAAAAATGCGTCCACATTGGCGTCGAGCGCGCCCGCGCGGTATCTTTCCTGCGACGGGTTTATCGAGATAACCGCGGATTCCGGTCGTAATAACCAGGACAATCCACTCCGATCTTCGCAAGTGCGGAGAAAAAAAAACCGCGTGAAAATTGAGAGAAATATTGTCACCGAGATTGGTATCGCCGAGAGAAATCCTTCGATCCTCGTCGCGAATCGACTCCCGCACTCCCGCACCACTGCGGATGAGAGAAACAAACACGCACACGGGTCTCGGCGCCGTCGAGAGAACGGAGGCCGGCCGATTTTTCGCCGTTGGACGCAAACATTTTCGCTCTTTATCCCGGACGCGAGAGATAAGCGCGCTTGTAAAAGCGTCAATATGTTAATGAACGCGCGAGGGGGGCCTCACCTTCAAAGTTTTCATCGCTTCCCGGAAACGTGAGGTGTCGATTTGAATTCGCGTTGCCGCTCGTTACGAGATACGTGAATAATCACGAAGTCCTCGAAATAATTAATAAATACACCCGGGATCGGCTCTAAAATATACCTTAGGAGTTATACATTTTCATCGCTTCCCGGAAACGTGAGGTGTCGATTTGAATTCGTGTTGCCGCTCGTTACGAGATACACGTGGATAATCACGGAGCCCTCGAAATAATTAATAAATACACCCGAGATCGGCTCTAATATTCCTTAAACCACTGACGCATCTCGCGCAATCGGCTGGATCATCATCAAGTACGCCGAAAGTACCGTTTTCTTCGTAACATCGGGGAAAAGTGGAGCCGAGTTCAACGTCACGCATCGCGTGGGACTAATGGTAATCAGGTTGAACCTGGACGCACAGAAGACGACGAGGAGAAAGTGCTGTGTTTTGCAGGTGCTCATGATCGAGGGGGAGCATCCCGCGCCTGTTTACGACGGAATTTGCCGCCGATGTTGCAAGGCTGAGCCAGTGTTCCGAAAGCCTTGTCCGCAAATACATCGACGCGTGTACCTTGTAAATTCGATACCGGTATCGTTGGCGACTCTCAGATGAAATATAGAACTATTTTACGCGTCTGTATATCACTCCTCGTTCTCTCTCTCTCTCTCTCTCTCTCTCTCTCTCTCTCTCTCTCTCTCTCTCTCTCTCTCTCTCTCTCTCTCTATCTGTAATACCTTTTCCATTTATTATTTTTCTATATTTACATTTTTATTATTTTTGTTTTATGCATTTTAGTTTCCAATTTCATTTTATGCTTTCCTCGTCGATTTGTGTACTGTTCCCAGCGCTCGAGAGGACGCGTAATTATAGAGCGTTTAATAAATAACGATATCCATTTACTTATTCATCTCTTTTTCCCATTACCCACATATAAATTGAGATAAATTTTTCTTAATTGAGGAATTAACTATCCTTCATATTTTGCGCCGAATAAGGCCTCGATAATATCGGGGCGAAAATCTTTGCCGGCGTAAATGGCGGACGCGCGCGTCATTCGCGCGTATCGAGGCGCACTGGAAAGAAAGGGAAAAAGAACTGGTTCGCCAAAGGTAGGTTCGAATAGACGAGAGCGGCTTTATGTACCCGTATATCCTTGGCACGATCCGCGCCTGAGGTGGTGATCTCTCGCTTGGTGCTAATTGCCGGTACTAATTGCTTGTCACCGCGCTCGTCTCGCGGTGCGCCGGTATACACACGCTTCTACGTACGACACCGAACACTCTTGGGGATAATATTCCCAAGTGGCACGTCGCGCATACGCGACACGATGACTGTCGATTCCGACAAAGGACCGACAAAGAACATTCCGCGAAAGTTTGCGCAGACGGTGTCTCATGGGTCTTTACGCGCGCGCGATACGCGAAACGTTCACGCGCTCGCTCGCTCGTTCGCGCGCGCGCGAGCGGAGGCCGTTGCCACTTTGTTGCTGCCCGAGGTCCTCGGCGATTTATTTCTCCGGACACGAGACACTCGGATAATCACACGACTGCGAGATCCCACGGAGATCGCCTTCGTCTTCGCGGAATCTCAATGTCGCGATATTGATTTAAGAGGAAATCGGCTTAAGCGGAGCTGCAGGATATATACGCGTAAGGATCCTCTCACAAATTTAATTGTAAGGTATTGCGCACGAAAAAGGAGTATTGTAATTGGAAATCATTTCAGCGGGAGAAACCTAGCTATCTCTCTCGTCGGGAAGCTTTCACGGTCGTATTTAAAGTATCCGCAATCTATCTCGCGCCGAAGACAAGTCATGCCGCGGACAAGTTACATTTTGCTTCGCGAGAGTGGCCGACGACGATCAGAACGGTCTTCAAAATCTAAATTCGCACCTTCCGATGCACAACGTCGAGGAGAGGAGACGAGGAAGCGTCCCCGCGCCGGTAATATTATTCACGAGGATTTCAAGATGCCGGCAGGCATTTAAAGCGAGGGGGAGATTTTAGTCGACGCGGATTCTATTTCGCGACGTCGAACGTCAACGCTTGTCACTGTCACCGCGTGGGCACATCGGAGTGGAGAGGCGCGGATAACGCGCGTGGTTTTCGCGCTTGAAAGTTCAATCTGAAGCGGGATCACCCGTCTGTAGCCCGCGTAGCGAGGCGCGAGAAGTCCCAAAGATTGACCGTTCTCTTATCGAATGCAGATATCTCTTCCTTTTTTTCCACGGCCGTGGACCACGGCGTTAATTCTGCGTAGATTCCCCGCGTTCGCGCGCGCGTACAACACGTTCACCTCGCGATGTCCGAAAGGTCGAGCCGCCACTTTCCAGCGCAGCGGCTGTCGCGCGATCGATCGGATAACTCGGAAAAGCCGTGCTCATTTGCAGAGGGAAAGAGAGACGGGACGTGATTGCGAGGTCGGGCTCCTACCGTGCCGTTCGAAATCAATTATCCCGCGCGGATGGGGACCGAGCGCGGATCGGCACGCTTAATGATTTCTGTTTATAGGTCTACCAGCCATCGGCAGATGCGATAAATTCGTGCCGCGCGTCATTGTTGACTTTGATGGCTCGTTATTTGCGGCACTGTCCTCGGCGCGATACGTTGACGTCTTCGCGAGCAATAAAATCGGTACGTCTCACTTTCGTGCCCGGCCGCCGCGCCGCGTCGCGACGACGGCGGAACTGGACGGGACGGGTACGGGACGGAACGGGGGGAACGGCGAAAAGCCGGCGCCGACGACCTCAAGAAGTCTTCCGGCACGGCTGCCCCGGGGCGAAAAATCTTATCGGGCGATTTACGAGCTTGACGCGCGACCGGCCGGGCCGGCGCGGCGGCGGGAAGAAGGAGCTTCGGGCGCCTTCCATTTCGAGAGCGCGGAACACGTGGCTCCTTTTGAAGATCGAGACTTTTATCGTCGCACGCGAGTAAAATTAGAACCCGGGGGCGATATGATAAAGGCCCGGCGAAGTGCAGGACCAACTCGCTCCGGGTGGTCAACGAGCGACAACTATAAATAATCTGAATCATCCTCGTCGAAATACCCGCGCGAATTAAGGAACCTCGCCAGGGGGGGAAGTTTCCACGGCTTATACGAGGCGTCGTATTTTATCTTTGTTAAGACGGCATATACCAAGTTCGGCAAAGTCTCCGCGAACGAATTCGAATTCGCGCGGATCCCAAGGCCCGGGCGTTATTTGCGAAGGGAACACGGCGATCGGCGAGAAATGCAAATTGTCGACTGTATAACCATTACAGGAAAAGCGGCACGATGGGTTTGCGCTAAGCGCGTAAATGCGCTGTACGTGTGTCGCATGCACGTGCAGCGAGAGTTTCCCCGCACGATTTACGATCTTAGAATTGGACACACAATAGGAACGACTCGACTCTCACGTCTATAATAATCGCGGCTTGGTCGCCGTACATGGGACGCGACTTGACGCTCGACACGCTCGTGCCAACGCGAGCTTTTGCCCGGAATTTGCAAGTACCGCTCTTAAAAGGATATCGGCGACCGAAAGAGACGATGAGGTTTTCGGTAACGTCTGTCACCGATCGGCCAGGAGATGAGTCGCAGTTCGCCCTCCGCGTCGTCGCGGAGAGATTCGAGTCCTTCCTCGTTCTCGATCGTGAGATACTTCCGCAAGAGCGCGAATCACAATGGAATACGAACTAACGAACAAAACGGGACAAGCCAAGCCTATGAGTCCGTCGCTACCGCCCAGATTGCGAGAGAGCGAAAGTTATCGAAGCTCGCGCGACGCGTCGGGAGAAGTCAGGAACAACTTTAATCGTTGCATTAATGACGCGGTGAATGCGAATCGGCTTTGAATTCGCTTGGATGAAAATCGGTCTGCCTTGTAATTAGAGGCTCTCACGCCGCCCGTTTCGAGAGTTCGAGTGATTTTACGTTATATCCTCCTCTTTCTCTCTCTCTCTCTCTCTTTCTCCCTCCGTCTTTGTCTCTTTTAATTTCTCTCCCTTTCTTCTCTCGGTAGTTGCGCAGCGCGGGCGCGCGCGGTGCAACTCGCACCCTGACCCGTGCGCTAATTAACGAATTATCATTCGACAGCGGCGGCGGCGGCGCGGCTTTATTTGGTCGCGCCAGGTGTTACGAACGGCACGCTGGCGTTGATTTAGCAATTTCTAGGCGCCACGAATCGCCAAGTAATCGCTCGTCGCCCCCGGCAATTTCCATTATCGGCATATTGAGAGGCTGAGAGTCCGCGAAGGCCGTCGTCACGGCGGATAAAGTGGAAAGAGACACGCAGCCTCCACCGCCGTCGCCGCCACCGCCGTCGCCGGTGTCGTCGTCGTCGTCGTCGTTGTCTCCAGTTGTCTCTCGTTTTCCTGCCAAATTCGACACGGCGCGAATGAAAGCGTGAGAAATCTCAATTGTGTATCTTGGATCTCGTATTGTCGAACCGACTCTAAAAACATTGCGAGAAAACGTCTGTGTCGAATGGTTAACGATACCTTTCTCGCAAATTTAACAGATTACATTGTCGCGTAAAAATATTTGAAGTTTGCATTGTGCGAGAGAGAGAGAGAGAGAGAGAGACGTTATCGTCCCGGCGGGATATCGTTCACAAAATTTTAGCAACAATTTTAATGAGAACGCGAGTAATACAAGATTTACAGTAATTTCGTTTTCATCCATGACGGAAAATCGGAGATGGCGAGACACGCGATTAATTTGCTACCCGCGGTTAATTTCTGAATTTCTTGAATATGCAGGCGCGTGGGCACCTCAAGGTGAAGCCGCGCGCGGTTTTGAGCGCGATTATATCACGTTTCATTCAATTGCAAAACGCGCGATTATATAGCGAGCGCACTGTTATTATCTATTAAAATGGCAGTATCTCGCTGTATCGGCCGATTACGTAGTCCCTCGGTGACACAATCGCATTAATGTACAACTGCGGCTTCTCCGTTCATCCCGTGATCATTACTGGAATTATTTCGGCAGATATATCGCGAAGTAAAACAAAGCGATTATTACACAGCCTCGCGACGAGGAGGGAAGGAGCTTCGCGGAGTGTGAAAGCGTCACGGTGCGTCAATTTTAGAACGTGGCCTCTTATTCAAGCACTTTTATCTTTATGTTCAATTCGACGTTTCGTTCGATCGAGATTCGATTCGATTTCACAAAGCAAACCGCACGTCTCGCAACGACCCTCCGAAAGCCGAGAGACATTTTCCAGATCTCCGTGTGTCGCAGAAAACTCCTTAAAGGTGAATCATCATCGCGGCAGCTGTGCCGTTGCTAATGTACGCCTATTTATAGGATAAACGACGACGTTCTCGGAAAATGTGTTCCATTCACCATATCAAGGTAGGCAAACGCGAAACCAGGGCCACCCTCTCCCTCACCCCCGTGTGTATCGTTGATTTTAATCGTTTGACCGGCGAAACACACCGCGCGTGCATCGCATCTAACGCAAACGGAGATTTTCTAGACTAGAGACTGTATCCCTACCTCAGATCGCATCGCTATTCCACACTGCGGTCCTCCCGCGAGTGTGTGGAGGCGTTGAATTATTTATAATAACACCGACGGCATTAATGCGCGAAACGGATTCCCTGTTCCTTGCCCCGGGGTGCGTTGACCACGCACGTAACGCTCAGAACGTCCCGGCAAGTCTTGCTACGCGCGTTATTCACGGCAGAATGCAAATTTAGCGCGTAATTTATCCTTGTCGTGCGAGATCGTTTCCCGTATTCTTCAGCCCGAGTAACTCCAAGTGGCGCGGCACAATGGCCGTGTAAGTAAAAGTGGCATAACTGATAAAACAAGAATCGAAGAATAAACATAGATACGGAATGCATAAACGTATGCTTCTTGAGTGTAAGCTTCCTCTCGTGTAACTCTAATGTAACGTGTGCGTGAGAGAGAGTAGCCTTTCACTAGGCAACCCGTTCGGCATCGCTGCACGTGAAAAGATTAATATACAACATGCAAAGTGAGCATTATTGAAAAATCAATATTGTCGGAAAAAAAAGAGGGGACAGTAAAAAGAAACTTACACGTGGTTTTGAACGTATTGTTGCGTTTATTTCGTACTGTATTATTAAAATTAATACAATGACAGAAGTATTTACAGGAGGTTTTTAGCAGCTACATGCGCGATCGCAATCTTCGCAATTATAATTATTAATGTGTAATAATAATAGCATAATATAATATAATAATAATTCTATAGAATATAATAGCAATAATAATAATAATAGATAATATATCGGGCACAGCGCGGCGCGTTCGAGTCGTGCGGAAGGCAAGAGACGACGCTCCTTTCCACGGATTTTAATTAACGCGAAGAAATGAAGCGAAAAACTGATTAATTCTGACTAATGACATATCACAAAGAAGAAAATAAATAACCGCGAATTCACCGTGAGAGAAGCTAAGGTCGGCCCATCCCCGGATCGCGCCGCCCTCGCCCGTCGTAGCAAAATTATATTTTACAAGGTCTAATCCCGTTCTTTGATTCTCGGAGACGCATCTTGAACCACATTCCCCGGTACACATATACGCGCGCACATGCGTCTCAAGAAATGCACGCGTTAGAATTGTGCGTAAATTGTGTACGCTGCAGCCTGTCCGCGTGGCGCGTTGTTCGGTACGTCGTGTCACTCGACGTGTCCCGATGTATTCGCGTTAAACGAAGAATACATTTCGCATCGATCTCGTCGTAGTCGGAGAGACTGAATAATCGGTCAAACAGTCGCCTCGGTCCACGAGGCCAACAGTGTTCCCCGCGTTTTCGCCCTCGACTCGATTTCCGCGCGCGACGATTGAAGCAGTGGCCAAAGAGAAGACTCAGGCATCACGAGATTTTCGCTTCGCGAAATACTCCAAGAAAGGGTAACGCTCTCACCCTCTCCTGGTGAATTAGAATTCGGCAAAAATTCGACATTTCCATATTAGTCTAAACGGTACGTAAGTCCTCGAAATAGTCAACGTATCAAAAGTGTGCTCTTTAACTTCGAAGAGAACCACCAAAAACCGTACAACATCAATCCTCTTTTGCTAGCAATAACGGAAAGAAATTTCGGGGGGAGTGTTGCTAAAAATTTCGTCGCGGTTAAAAAACATCAGTTATATTTACTGGAAAATCCACGCGTTCTCGCATATGTCCCCGTGGATTTGTGCAAAGGGATGTACAAATTCACGGTCGGACGAGTCTCTCATGCTGCTCGTAGAAACCGAGGCTCGCCAACCAAGTCCGTCATTTTTGCAGCGCTCTCTCGTTCGCTCTTCTTTCTTTCTCGTCTCGCTCGGCGAAGACACAGGTCGCTCGTTAGCGTCTCGCCAACGAGCGTGTGTCCGCGGCGAAATAAACGAAAATTGGAGGCGCGAAAAAAGGGGGAGCGAGCGTGAGAAAGAGGACGGAACGTGTTTATGACTAGCATTCGTCGCGCCACGCTACGCGAGCGAGCGAGCGAGCGAGCGAGCGACTCGCGCGTTTCAATTTGCGCGCGATGATGAATTCCGTGGTTAAATAAGTTTGCGTATGTACAATTATGATTTGCGTGTCCACGAGAGGCCGGAGAGCAGACGAGGTCATCTTTTTTTTTCAATCGTCTTTTTTCTCTCTCTCTCTCCTTCTTTCTTCCGCGACGCGAACAACGAACAATTTTTTTAAATAACTGAAGGAAAGAATGCTGGTTCGCAGAAAGTATATTTAATAACACGATTATTTAATAATAGGGGGAGAAAAAACCGTATATACACGTGATATATACGACCCACAGAAAAATGGTCCCGTAGCGTGTGATGAGAGCCGAGAGTTTTCGGTGGTTCGTGCGACGAGTTCACTGACATCCGAAGGGGCTCGGCCCCGCATTGTTAAAGCTCCTCCGCCGAGGCCGTGTTTCGAGCTAACCAGAATTAGAGACGCCTAGACGGCTCGTCTAGGCGTTCAATTTCGATTCTCGTGAAGCCGCGCGCAATTAAGGCACTCTTCAGACGTATATTCTCTCCCTGTGCATTACAGTCTCGTGACTCGAGAAACCTTGCCGCGCAAGTACCGGACAAGTAAAACGTAGGCACTGACGACGTATTAAACGCACACGCGTTTTACGATTTTCCTTAAGGAAGGCACCGAAATATGTTTGGATTGTCGTCGGTCGTTGAACCGATTGATATGGCGATTTGTTCCGACGGAACGGAGCGCGCGATGCACCGAGATTGTTGCTGGCGATTGCTGGCATTACTTTTCCCGTGGCCAACTTATTCGGCCGCTCAAAGTCCGACGCTTTTGCAAACGAATGCAGTATTGATAAGACTAATTTTTATCAATTTGATACACGGAAATGTCCGTTTCTAAAAATCGTGCTTCAAAAGTTAAACCTCGCGGAATTACAACGTCGTTTCGGATAAACGTGCAACGCGCCATGTCTCGGTGCATGCGCACGCGATGCAGCTCGAGTTTTCTTCAGTTCAGAAAGGACGGTCGATCAGTCTATCAATAACGGCAGCCTAAGGAGCGCTATCTTCGCTCGATTTCGGACGCGTTCTTCTCCTCCTGTTTACGCCTTGGGTCGGGCGGTGACGGCGGGATCCGTCGGGATTGTCGAAGACTCGCCATCGACTCTCTCGATGGACCGACTGTCCTTGTTATGTATGGCGGAACGCGTTTCACCCACAGCCGGAATCCAGCGTCGGGTGTCGCGATGACTCCGCACGACCTTTCCCTCGGATCTCCGTCGTCGCCACCCCCCCGGCGCGAGACCACCCCTGTGACCGGCGTCGCAACCACAACCACAGGCACCTTTTCACACATGCCACGCACACACTCGCGACACTCGTTCTATCGCCTCGTACACCTTCTCCTGATTACTCGAATATGTACATCAAGACCTCACCTCTCTTCGAAGCCGCTCGCTTCCACGAAGAGTCAATGCGTACATGCACGCACGCATACAAACGTATACGCATTCACATGCTCTCTCTCTCTCTCATAGTATTTACAACAGCCATTTGTTCGCTTTGATATGATACAAGCTACGGTCTCTTCGTCGTCGGCACCTTCGCGAAGGCACGCGTATGTAGAAAGGCGTTGTGTACACGTAGGATTCCGCGCGCGACACGCTTCGCAGGCGGCCACGTTGCTCGATTCGCGTGCGCACGCTTTTTTTTTTTTTATAAATCGACCCCGGATTCCCGAGAAGTCCGGCGAAAGTCGGGACAGGAGCTTCGAGAGGCTGTTCGAGGATTCTGGAGATCAGGCTTGGTGTTTTTTTTTATATTCTCGCTACGAAATACTGCTTAATATTACATGCATCGCGATCGAGTTACAGAGTTTTTTTTTTCTGATCGAGTTAACGTCTTCACGGCACGAAGATCGCCTTTACCGTTGCATCGAGTTTCAAAAAGTAAGAACACATCGCATTCCTCATGCTACCATTTCACGTTTCCCCTAACGCTATCACAGCATTATGTGCCTTACGAAAAATAAATTCAGACGTAATTCCCTTCTTTTACATACGACTGTCGCATGACGTGTCGATGTCGCTGTCGGTTTTGCCATTCTACCGCAACAATCAGAGGAACCGTGAATCCGAATATATCTTTCACAAAGCTCATAGTCCTATATTTTTACAGAAAAGACGCGCGATCCTGAACCTTCCGAAGAACCTTCTCAAAATGTCACAGCCTTCGCAAATCTCGAGGAACTTCGCCTATCTTCGTCCCACCTTATCCTTCGTATACGCACATCCCTCGGGCACGCCTCGTTGCTCAAAACCTCCCTCCCTCTCTTCGTGTCACTGTACACATGATATTACGCGATATGTACAATCGCCTCGAATTCTCATATTCCCGATCTCTCGGCAGCAGCTCGGAGGAGGCTGTCAGAGAGACGTCCGTCCACCTGCGCCCGAATATAATTCAACACCTGCCGACGCACAGCTGGACGGCGCGTTCTTACGAGGCCTCGTGCACCTGGAACCGCCGAATCCGCGCCTGCACCGACTCGCACTGTACCTCGCTGTACCTGGTGTACCTGCCAGCACGTACGGGTTCCCTAATGACCACCAGGTTACCGCCTCGCTCGCGGAGCGCCTCGAGACCGGCCTTGCTGCCACTGCCGCCGCGCAACGCCGTCACCGTCGGCGGCGTCGTCATCATCGGGATTTTCGCGATTTTCGTCATAGCGGTCTCCGACGTGAAACGGCTGAGCGCCTTGCTGACAACGCCGCTGCACTCGCGTGGCCAGACTCTGGCGGTGCGATGATGATGATGCCTCTGTTCCCACCTGTCAGCGGCCGCGTCGGCGGCGGTGAACGGGAAACTCGCTCTACCCTGACTCTTGCCGTACAGAATAAAGTCGAGGGAGTCGTCCGAGTAGATGCTGCTGCGATCGCTCGAGCTGTCGGTCGAGATCTCGGACACGGTGTCGCTGCCGCTGTCGCTGCACTGCTGCTCGGCCTCGCCGAGGATGAACACGGGCGTGCACTTGAACACCTCGCCGCCGGCCGGCATCGTGTGGGTGGCGGTGGCGCGACGTTGCTGAATACCGCCGCCGGCGTTTGACGACGACGGCTCGATGATGACGATCTCCGGCAGTACGCTGCCGGAGAACTTTCGCGCGAGCGAGTCCATGTTCCTCTTGAAGGTGTCCCTACGGTCCGGGCTCAGCCCGAATCTGATGGGCTTGGGCAACGATCTCGAGGCCGCGTAGAGGTTCTCCGTGTGCGAGGAGACGGCGCGAGTGCCCGCCGCTGGTTTGGAAATCTCCGCGCTGTGGCACAGACCTGTCGTGGACGATCGCTGCTGCTTCTCGCTGTCGCTCTTCGGCGTGGACGAGACCTGACCTTGATTGACGATCGGCGAGGACAGTTTCGACGAGGTGCCGTCGTCTTGCGGCGACGTTGTCGATGACTCGAGGACAGCAGCGGGGCTGTCGTCCGACGAGGGGCACGTCGTCAAAGGCGCCAACGGCTGCTCGAACATGTTGAACCAGGGATGCTGAAGACACTCGGTCACCGTCAGACGTTCGCTGCGAACAGACAAAAGTCGTTTGCTTGGAGAAAATTGTTTTCAATACTCTCGCACATTCCTAAGTATTTCAAGATTTTTTTTTTAATAACGCTTTCAATTCGATGTCATATTTCTAACGATTCGAATATTAAAGATGAGACGTGACATGATTATGTTGATCACTTCAATACGCGCGGTGCTCTTGAATAAATATATCCTAACAACAGGCTCGTTCCGCGAACGACTACGTCGTCCTCGTTAACTCGAGGAGCGAGAGAGTCAAAGGGTTAAGAGACCCGTCGCATAAACGACCTCCGCTAGGCGGGACCGCAGCATTTATCGACGGTGGCCATCATCGTGGCGGTCCCCGCCGGGGACGTTTTCGCGTAGCTATTTCGTGCCGCGCGTATGTATATACCATTCGCGTATCGCGCGCGGGGCCTGCGCAGAAAACCATTACGTTAGCCGTCGTATCGGTCGACTTCCGGCATACGGAGCGGCCCAGGATATATTCAATAACGGAGCAACGTATTGCGTAACACGTAAACGCCGTGGAATGCCGGCCCATGCAGAGGAGATACTAAAGTGCTTTAGGGGCCGGGCCCCTCTTAATTCCGGGATCATCAAAAGGACCCGAATAAAAAGTGTTGGCATAAAAGAGTTAACTTCTCCACGTTACTCTCGCATTTATATTATCGCATTCAAGTCGCGCGAAAAAAACCAACGGCAAAATGTTAGTCGAAACCTTCCATATCGGGCTGACGTAATAATTTCACGAAGCCGCGCACAAGTTGATAGAGGCAAGTTAAATGTCGACAATAATTACCTAACATTCTAACGTATTGATCATCGCAGATTTACAGATCATGCTTACTAATCATTAACAGCACTGTAGTTAATCTCACGGCTGTTTGCATGATTTGAACATATATAAGTAAAGAATGCAAGAGAGTGATGACAAGATACATTAATTTTAACGCGAATGACGTGACGTATAAACGAACGCGAATTCATCTGCGAAATATTTCTTTCAGCAATGAGTCTCCCGCAGCCTCTTCGAGACGAAATACGGTAATTTGCAGGTCAGCTATGAAGACCGCTATTCAACGTCGTTGGATATGACGATAAGTCATGCGGGTTCCGCGCGATAAGATCCCCTGTGCTCGCCAGAGAGGAAGGACGCGGATATATTCCGGATAGCGACTTCCTCTCAGCTGTCCGCATGATAAGGAAACCTACGAGGTCTTTCTCTCTCTCTCTCTCTCTTTCAGCGAAACTCGCCTTCCTCGACCGTCCACTCTTCCCGCTTCGAAGAAAGTCAGCTCGCGAAGCCGACGTGGCGCCGATCGTTTTTCTACCGCTCGCGTACTCGCGATTGACGACGGGCTCGATGATCGGCCGATGACAGTTTCTGCTCCCGGGGGAACGCGCTAATAAATGCATATCTCGATGGAATCACAGTGTCGCCATTGTGCACTAATCCGCGAAGTATTAAAAGAGGAAAGAGAGGTGAACCACATACGCATGATTCGAGGAAAACATCGCGCGCGGGAATTGATGCGATTTAATCCGAAACGTATTAATTTGCGCGCACATCTGTCGGATTTTTTAAACGCTTGCGATTTTTACTCACTTTCATGTTACGTCCCGCACGATCTCGAATGAAAGCCGAAGCCAATGGCGCGATGAAAGTTAAACCCGAGGCTATACGGGATATGTCTCGCTCCTAGAATCCATACAATAAACGACACCGCGATGGACGGGAGTCTAAAAGACGACAAGCTCGCGGGAACGCGAAGCGATTCCGTCGCGGATTTCTCGCAAGCGTGTGGCTTTCTCCCGCGGTAGACGCGGCACGATCAGACGTCGGATGCTGCATCAATGAGCGGCGTTGACCCACTGATACCGAATCCGCTCCAGGGCGATCCTCGGCGCGGTGCAGATCGTTACCGTCGCGCGACATGTCGTCATCTCGGTTACAGCACGGAATGTCGCCGTCGCTTGCGCGACGATACGTCTACGTGACGCGATTGTTTTCGTTCTAGGAAATCGGCCGACATACCGACATAACTCTAACAATGCAATCGACACGACGCGGGCGCGCGTTTCGCGTGCTATCTTCTTTCCTCGCTTCGAGGTAATTAAGCGCCGGGCGTTCTCGGTAAATCGCCGCAGCCTTCCGCGAAGGAATTATTTTCACCGGTCCAGGAATGCACACGCCGGCACCCGGGCCTCGAGACGAGTGCCCCGGTGTCTTAAAACGCGAGAGCTCAAAACCGTCGATCGACCGCCGCGATATACGACGCGGGCGACGTGGGTGCGTATACGATAATTCGCGGCGGCGACGACGGCTCGATCGCGGCGGCACGACGAATGAAAATCTTTCCGTCGAATCAAGTGGAGTATATGAAGATAAATGGCGACGAAGTGGCTCGCCACGACGATCAATGAATATCGCTGTGGATCTGCGTCGCCGCACGGTTGACGCTACGCGCGTATATTATATTTCACGGCCTGTTCTAATCGCGTCCGAGAATTAAATTCCTCGAATCTATCTTTTCTCGTTTACTGTGACTTCGATGTGCGAAAGCTACGTAATTACGTAATTCTAATTTTTTAAAATATAACTATACATATGTTAATATTCATCAATGCAAAAATTACACTACTCTCTAAATTTTTTGGAGTGAAATTTCACTCTAAGGAGTGAAAATACTGCCACTCAAGTGGCCGAGTGACAGTATTTTCGCTCTTTTGGAGTGAGATTTCACTCTTTTGGAGTGAGATTCACTCCAGAAAATTTAGAGAGTACGCTTAGAGCTAAGAAATTTATTATTTAGAAATTTACTTCGGATCCTTGACCATGAGCTTGCGCATGAGGTCGCGCGCCTCCTCGGAGACGTCCTCGAAGAGATCGTCCGGGAAGTCCAGGCGGCATCGGCTGATGTTGCAGAACGTCTCCTGCTTGGTGTCTCCGCCGAACGGCGAGCATCCCGTTAGCAGCACGTAGAGCAGCACGCCAACGGACCACATGTCGGTCGCCAGGCTGATCGGCTCGTAATTCAGAACCTCCGGCGCTGAGACACATACAGCAGATGAGCCGTTATTATAACGTATAGTAGTGAGATCCCGCGGAGCATCGAACCCTAATGCTCGTCAGGACGTGCGCGCGCGTGTATGTGTGTGTCTCGAGTCCCGGTAATTAAATTCGAGGAAAAAAAAGAAGATAACGCCCCTTCTTTTCCTCGGCCTTTCTGCCATTACGTCGTCGCGGCCGCTATTACGACGCGCCGATGCTTAATGGAGCCACGCGTGTTCCTCAACGGGATAATAATAATTGTAACCATGGACGTATTAGGCCCCGAGCGCGAACTAGGTAATCGCCACGATATACGGAATCGCGGTTGGCTCGTTCATCGCGTAATAGTCACGCGTTTCAGATCGGCCGTTTTGTACCGGCTCGTTTCCGACCGAATCACGCTAGAAATAATATTTTTCCAACGCCCTCGGCGTTGTCAGTTCATTCGGCTTGATCGCTGCGAAGAGTCACGCGCGCTGGTTTTTTTTATCGCGCTAATTTCTGCGAATGATCTCATAAAATAACGATCGGGGATCTGTCTTGGTTCAATTAAGGTCGATCTCTTCTTTTTCGTTCGGTAGCACGCCATTTTTAAGTTATTCTCTTTCCGTTAATCTTCGTGAAGAAACGGATTCTTTTTTTTTTTTTTTCAGGACAATTTCAAGCGATTCTATAATCGTCGAAGGTGTAACCGGGACGGCTCGAAACTTTTCCGATCATCTCACGGGAGATTATCGTGTCTCGCTATTACCTAACACCACTTAGGGCATGACCGTTAGGCGGTAGTGTGCGATGTAATCGCGACAATAATAGATCGCGAGGATCGTAAAAGGGTGCTCCTGGCCAATCGGGGTGCGCAGAAACGACCACGTGCGGCTCTCCTACAATTAGCCGCGAAGTAGCTTGTTCTGTTCAATTATGCATCGTGCGTCTGTTTCCCTAATGGAACTACATAGTACGGACCGTACGAGCTATTTCTTAGCATCAAAACAGATCGCGAACATGGAAGGTGCGACCCCGCCGCACACAATCGCGACTGCCGAGACCGGAAACCACCGCCGGCACGCACACGTTTACCGTCCGTATAAGGCACCGCGTTAAAACGGGCTCGCTTTATCAGGGCTGCGGACTGTTAGCCTCAGTGACACGCACGGGTCCAAGGTGTTAGGGAAACGCACAGGTGTCGAATACGATTGCGGTTCTCGCGTGAACTCGCCCGGATATTTATCACTGCAGGCGTGAGGGTCCTTCCATCTTGGTCGCGTTTCACGGTAACGAACGACATATCCCGAGTCCGTTTACTCAAGTCGAACGAAATGAAACTGACGTTTCGCGGAAGACGCGCGAGTCGCATAGGTACAGGAGTTTAAAGTATACTCACCGACATAGTCGGGCGTGCCCAAAATTTCCCGTATGTCCGCTCCGTGACTGATGTACCGCGATATGCCGAAGTCGCACAGCTTGACGTCGCAGTCCGGGAATTCTCCAGTAAGTACCAAATTCTGCGGCTGAAACATCAAAAGGCAGGTGGGGATGATTCGACTGTCATTGACGAGAGAAAGGCCGTTATTAAAATAAGATTGCTTACGCGGAGTAGATCGTGACTGTTTTAACCGTGTGTACGTTTATATATATATATATATATATCATGCGCATGTAATTTCAGCTTAAAGACAGACCAAGGCGTAGCCCGTGAAACGCGAGCGACAGGAAAAAAGAAGCGAGCAGGTTTTATCTCGCGGTGATCTCCGCGCGACAATGCCAATTTCCTGGCCGCGAGATAATATGGAGAAAGTAAAGCTTCCTTTCAGAGGAGGACGGTCTCGCATGACGCGACTGCACTCCGGCATATTCTCTGTCTCCCTCTGGCCGTTAACGCGGACAAAGCGATACCCCGGGTATAGCTTTCGTGGTCTCGGTCAATTATCAGAAGCACGCAACGCACCCGGTCCGAAACACTTTTTCTACATGGGACAACATCTCAGGAATTTCGGCGCCACCATACAAATATAGCAGTAAATTGCACGCGGGCTTATAATTATAGGTGTATTCTCCTTTATAAGTAGAGACATACGCTCATGCGATATCGTTCTTAGTTCGCGACTTGCAGCGGTTTAATTTTAGCCCGGCGTGGCCTCGAGAGCCGAGATCTCGCATCTCGGTGGAATTTTAATCCGAGTCCTAATTATCGAAAGACCGTCCGATACACGCCGCCGCCTCGCGCGAATGGAGTTTCTGAAAAATAATAACTTCCGCGTCGAACGCGCCGGTCGATACGAGATTTTTGCCGCGGCGCCGCGCGCCGGTGGATGATTAATCGTCAGAACCGGGCGAGGCGGAGAGAAAGGAAAATGCGGCGCGCGTATACGTAACGCGCGCGCGGCATTCTTTTCTTTTTTTTTTTTTCGACGATCAGATGGAAGAGAGGCAACGTTCACGTCCACATTACAATAACATGAGTCCGCGTAGGCGTCTCGCGCGCGGCATAATGCCTCGGACGTCGTAAACGATTCCGCGATAAGAAAGGTCGTCGCGCGGCCTAGGTGCGAACTCTCGTGCCCACGTGACACATCGTTTCATCCTCTCTCCGCTACCCTCGGCGCATCTCCCGCCGAGACTCTTTCTACGGAAAACAATCGAAACAACGCCGAAGGGGCTGCGGACAGCACGAGACCGACGGAATAGAAGAGGCCCGCGATAGACGCGGCCGCCCGAGTCGTCGGGGAAGAGCGAGAGACGAGAGGAAGCTCGTTGCCGGTCCATTGTCAACGCTCCGCGGCTGGTTTACGACCACCTAAGTTGCTCGGGAATTATGTCTTCAGTGCCGGGTCGCGACTCCTAAAGGATGTTGCCATTATCGGTTTATTAAGGAGAACGCGTACTACATCATTGGTGAATCACCTGGTCACAACAACATTTTGCCACGTCGTTTGCTCCTCTCGATTATACGCGCGAGAGGGAGCCGTTGTTACATTAAACACTTATAATGGTACCGACGGTTCGAATTGCTCCTCGTAAAGCAATTCGAACGTACGGGGAACGGCCCGCGACGGCGATTCATCTGCTCTCGCTTGAACGTTTGCGCGCAGATGTTTGCCATGCAGCTTGCGAAGGGACCTAATGAAAGAGTGCGGATCACAATTACGCTCATAGGAGTGACGAAAATTGTCGGCCCTACTGATCGTACAAAAAAAAAGAGTAGCGAAAAAGTTAACTCGATTAGGGTGAGAATGAGACGCGAGGGTAAATGTAGGTCTATTCAACTTTCGTTTCTTGCCGTATTGTTAATACTGTGCAATTAGTATTAATAGGACGTCGTCGCTTGCAGAACTGGAAATACCATTAATACGCTACAAGATAAACGTATAATAAATATAATAAGTATTATTATACGATAAGACCCGATCCGCAACCAGCGTCGGTCCGCTGATTTTAAGTAAAAAGGCCACTTTTGTTTTTACATGTTCTTACATGTCTCGCGCTAATCGACAAGCGAGATGATGATTATCGAAAGCTCAGGCACGTAAATGACGTTAACATAATTTTTTGCAACAAACCGCCACATTAAGGAGGGCAACGACGCGTTGAACGAGCATCATCGAGAATCACGACGCGATTAATGTGAAGATTAAAGACTCAACGCTAAATTCAAGTAAGGTCATTATCCTTATCGCGGGTGGTGCAGTATTTGCGGTGATCGATGACACCGTCATTTTTTTTGTTGAGTCGAGCGCAAGAAATTGCAATTCACGCTCAGCCTTTTCTCCCCGCATCTTCTTCTCGACCAACGCGAAAGTCGATAAATTTAAATTAATCTTGCAGAATTTTTGCGCATGACGGAGGCTCGTCGGAGTCGAAGGCGGAGGGACAGAAGACGGACAGGGCGCACTGCATGCATGAGATGCGATCGAGGACAATTTTCGTGGTAATCGATCGGCTCGCCCACATTCAATCATCACGTCGAGAAACCGGCGACGCACGCTCGAGAAACCTCGGCTGCAAACTCCGCGCCGTAATGGTTAATTATGGAAATGTCTTTGTTCCTTATTAGAGCGACTTCCTGAACTCGAAGCGTGATCTCCGGATTGATTCCTACGCAACGCGCGCGCGTGCACGCACCGAAAGGAGAACGCGGACGGGGCCGCGAATGGCTCTGATTTTCCGGTTTCCAGATTATCACAGCCGTGCCAATTATCCGGAAGCCGGACGGCGAGATCTCGTAACGGCGTAACGAGAACTTGCTAGATAACTTGCTATCGCTAATATTAGCAAATCGACGGCGCACACATTAATCAGAGTGGACAAACGGATATTTTATGTAAAGTTACTCAGATACGAATCTTAATTATGCATTCCGCCTTCGAAAACTACATAAAGGTTTTAGTATAAGTGGGAATAAGAATGAGCGCACAAAATTAGAACGACGAAAAAACGCGCAAAAGTTGAGAAATTAGGATACGGTTTTCGCTTTTTCAAAGCGATAACCTCGTCCGAAGTCGAAATTTCGAAACAGAGACAAAGCGACAGTGGCACAAAGAAAACCGACCTGCAACCTCGCGACGTCACGGAGCCGCCTTTTGAATCACATTATTCGTCGAGCGGGCTCATGATGAAGCCCGGTCACGTTCGACTCGTAACTCGGTTTAACGAAACGTAACACACAAACTGAATCCTCGAGCGTGCCGAGTGCCTTTGTTCCATCCACATCCTTTTACGAACGCGAGACGCTCCGATGCCCGATAAGTCATCGCTCCGACGAATTTCGACGTATATACCTACACGCTGCGCGTATCAAGATTCAACCGTAACTCTTCAATTGTCGATCTTCAATTATTCATCTCGTTACGTTACGTTAGCGAGAACGTGTTACGTATAGACGTGCGAACGTAAATCAGTCGTTATTCGAACAGCGATTCGAATCCAATCCTGTTTAGTTTGCGCGGAGAGTGATGCACGTAGAAATTCCGACACAGCGAGGCGCGCGTTCGAAGGGCCCTGGCCTTCGACAAACGGGCGTGTTCCCGGGTAACGACGGGCCCCCGCGATACGTGCAACCGTGCCCCGCAGCAGCTGCCTATATATATGTATACGCGGCACCTCGCGCATCGGTATGCATTTTTCGAGGGGACACACGTCGCTCTTGGGGCGCGTCAGCATTACACGCTCAGACGGCAATCTCGCGCCACTTAATTTAACGCGCTCAATAAACGACGACGATTCCGACGGGGAGTGCACTCGTCACGTAATCGTGGTAATTAATCGTGACGCGCGCGAGCGCGCGTGAGTCGTCGATTCGCTCTTTTTCCTATCTTATATAGACCCGATGCGAGCGCTGCCTCAAAAAATTTTTTTCTCTCATCGCGAATAAGGCAGATGGAGCCTCTCCCCGCGCCGCTTCTCCCTCAGATTCACTCTCCTTAATTAACGACGCAAGATGCGCGACGCAGATCCCTCGCGTATTTCAACGCAAGGTGCTCGCGAACCCACCGTCGTTCGAAACCCCGTGTCTTTTGCATATTATTTTCTTTTTACTTTGTGTATGCATTATTTTCTTTTAATTTCTCTTTATTTTGCAAACATGTTCTTAGAGGGCTTACCGTAGAACAGTAATAAATACCTTTTCTTTAATAGCCTTGAGCTCAAGGTTTTCCTAACAACAACCGTCGATCAAGCACAGCTTCCAAGATGCGCAAAGAAAGTCTCGGTAATAAGATATACAATTCGGAAATAATACCTGCTCTCGCTTGATTACCTTCGAGCGAGACCGGACCGGACGAAAATAAAGCGTGACTGGATCAAATCAATCATCTTTTTTTTTTTTTAGACACGCTTCCTGCAACACACCATCTATTTTACCGTTCTTACGCGATCTTGCACAACTACTGGCGAGGTCGGCGCGGCGTGCCTGATGTAAATATCGATCGAATGTGCACCCTTGCGAATTGTAACAGGTGTTCGTTCCTGCGCCTCGCAGCGGGCACTTCGTGTCCCGGGATGTTGGCGCTTAAGTGCCGCGACCCGCGCAAAAACGATTTGTAGGAAGGACGCGCGTCATTAAATCGAAGCCGGCGGTTATTCATCTTGCGCGTCTTGGCTGTACCAAAAAGAACCACACACGGAGGTCGCGACAATTCTCACGACCGGCCGCGACGCGGCGTCCGTGCGAGAGTTTAACTGTGCCGCCACGTGATTAAGACGTACGTGCCTTTCCGTATAGAAATTACTTTAGATACATTTTACGCAATCGCGGGCCTATATCTAACACGTCCGTGTCTCTGTGGCGTGTAGAGGCGAAGGTGAGGAGATTTCACGGGGAGTTAACGGGGCAAATCTCCACGTCATTATATTCAACGAGGAGTACATTGTCCCCGCAAAACGTAAGAAATCAACCGCGGGATAACGGTGCGTCTTCCGTCTTTCAAACGTGTTTCTTTTTCAGCGCACAATGCGACATCGCGCGCGTGAAAAGTCGGGCGCGAGATGTTTAATCAACGCAGCACGCAGGGGA